CAGATATAAAACATGGAAATAATGTTGCGATATATTCCCATAAAAATAAATGAAGTCACATGCACCAATCCAGCATCATTCAATACAAAAATTATTATTAAATCATATGCATGCATACAAACAAACATTCAAAGAAAAAAGCAACCTTATTTTTCAACATATATAAATATATATATATATATATATTCCCTTAGTGTACCAGAAAAGAATCATCAACAACGAATATGTAACAAATTCACAAAGTTTTTCAATAAATGAATAAGCAATTAAATACAAAGGGAAAGGGAGGGGGGCAGGCCCAAGTGGGGCCTAGCTGGCTGCCAGTGCCAATCCGGCTACGTCAGCCTCATCCTTACCAATCCTTCTTAATACTGCCACCCAATCATGTCCACGCCGGATTCTCTTCCTGGGTCCAGGCGACAACTGGCATCTGAGTCACACCCTACAGCCATTCATCCCCTTTCATCCCCGTGCCTCCTTTTCTGACCCGCGTTCACACCGCAACAAACTCTACCCCCCTCTCGCTCCCTGGTGCGTGACGAAGCCAAGAGAGTCGAGTTCACCTCTTTCAAACCCTCGTCCGATTCCCTCGTCGCAAGTGAGCAGGGAGGGAGGGGAGTGAGCGCGGCTCTACGGAGGCCGCGGCACACAGCGCGGCGTTGTGGCTGTGGGTGCGCGAAGAAAAAACGGGGGAGTGCAAGGGGGGGGGGGAGTTGAAAGCGAGTGGAATAACTTACACAACAAGCACCCCCAGCGACATTGGCCCAACCATGTCATCTCTCTTCTTTGTCCTTTTGCTTCCTCAACCTGGGCCGCAGTCTCGGACTTGAACTCCTCCCTCATCACTTCCCTACTTGTACTTCTTCTACTACTGCTTCTTCTTCGACGATTACTACCCTCCCTGGCCCCAGTAGGCCTTCAGATTCTTCATGCTCTGCCCAGTCCAGTCTCCGATCCCCCCTCTTCTTCAACGCAGTCTCCGAGCCCCTCTTCTTCAACGCCATGGCCCAACTGTTTTAGGGTTTGTGGACATGGAGTCAAAGCCCATCTGCTACTCCCTTCCCACAAAGGCATCCACATTGAAGAAAAAAAATTATCTTTCTATCAACCTTCCTTTGCTGCGGCATCTCCACAAACAGTTGTTATTTCTATTTACTGAGGAATGAATTTTGTTTGTTATTATTGTGTAACTATTTAGTTAGAAATTAACTTTTTTTTTGCTATTATTGAGTATGGTGTTGTAGTTATTGTTCTGTGCAAGTTATTAGAATCCAATTCCTTTGCTTCATATTCTTGTAATACTAGTTTGTGAATATTAATGTTGTGGTTGATTTGTTTTGTTTTCAAATTACTTTGTTGACAAATATAGTTTATTCTATGCATGTCATGTTTCATATGCTTCTAATCTAGTGTAATTTAGTATTTGTTTTTAATTTTATCCTTACATGTTATTGATTCAAATAAGACACATCACATATAATTAAAATCATATTAAAATAAGAGTTTAAATATATAGATATATATAGATATATATATATATAATCAAACCACACAAACCATTTATTTCTAATAATATTGTGTATTAGAAGTATTAGAAACACACATGTATTTCTATGATATATTATAAATATATATAGTAGTAGAAATATGTATCTACTCATTTGCTTTTACATTTGTTTTTGTTTTTGTTTTTTTTTTTTTGGTAGTGTTTTATTTCTGGCATCTGTTTTTGTAATATTTTGAAGTTGCATAGCACCAAGTTGATTATTTAAAACTAGAATTTTATCTACTTAAGAATATATGAAAAAACAATAACATGTTACATTAGAATACCTAGTTAGGAAGAATCAACTCTAGAGGTTAATTTTTACTATTATGGAGTAATTTAAATTCAAAACACATAACTCTATAGTTTTTTTTTTTATAATACATGCCAATATGCTATAAAAAAATATATTTATGAATGAATATTCACTTTTTAGTTGATGAACTTTTTAATTGATGCAAAGTTATATATATTTGGTTTTCTAAAATCTATTGAAACTGCTATACTTAATTAGCCTATTGCTCATGTATCTCAACTTCTATCTTCAGTAACTAGATCGTGGAGCATTGCAAAACATTAGCTATTATCTATCCAATACAATATAATTGCCATTATTTATTTTAATAACAGATGTATTATTTGAATTAAAGAAATGATATACATGTATATTTACTTGATTATTAAGCTTTAAATTCCACACAGCATTATCCATTTCCATTATTGATTTGTATGTATGAAATAATTAATAATATACAAACAAATAAATATTTATAGTACAACCAACATTCCATTACAAAAAATTGTAGATAAATAATCTGTATAAATTCTATATCAACTCCAGGATGCCATTATTCTTAACATCTAACAAAGTGATACCTTGTATAATTGAAATTAACTAACTTGATAAATACAAATTGCTTCATCCAACTGCAAAAATCGTATCAAATTGCAAAGACTATCTTCGGTGCATATTAACAAAACAGCCAATCTTAATTGCTTAAATGCAGTTCAACTAATTGCTTGAATACAGTTCAACTAATTGCTTAATATTAGTTAGATAAATTATAATATGATAGAATAACTTGGTAGAACCTATATACATATATGCACACACTATTACATATTAGGATAGTTTTCCTTCAAGTACCCAGAAGTTGCTAATTCTATTAAAAAAATAATGTAAAACAAGTTGTGTCACTATGCAAGGTCTGACGCATTCTATTCAAAAGTTAGTTTATACGTGTAACTGTTTAGTACTTTGACCCAAACCTAATCATTTAAAAGAATAATAAATGAAAGATTTGTGTATGTGTTAATGACACTCAACCATATAATATTAGTGTAAAATACCATAAAATTGTAATATTACCAATTTTAAAAATACTAGTAGAAACTATTTATTTGTTACACAATACCATCTACCTATATCTAATACACTAAACATCTTTGGTTTTATACTTCTTCTTATTTTCTTATTTTTGTTATTGACCATCATTAAATGTGCAAGAAATTGAAAATGCTTCTCCTATATTATTTATTTCATTGTTTTCAAACTGCATTTTTCCTTCTATATGGCATATGCGAAAGGTAATTTGTAAGGAGAAGAGTTAATGCCTTGTGGCCCACCACTTGACTAATGTTCAGAAAAACTTTACACTGTCCAGAATAAAAGGGGGAAGGAACATGGACAGGGTGTGTGTGTGTGTTGGAGACGGCTTGATTATTCTAAAAAAGGATAGAAAACGCATTGTTTTGCTTGCAATCCATCCATACAGAATTTTTTTTTTTTTGAAGAAATGACACACAACCATCTTTCCATTCTTAGATGTCCATATGTGCGAATAGGCTACTTTGCATTAGAATATATATATATATATATATATTTATATACATGTATCCATATCCGTCCAGACAACTGTATATACAAATATAAAAATATATTTAGAATTTTAAAGCATGTAGATTCTGATCCCAGCTGGCTCCCATTCATGAAATGAAAAAGCATTCAACTCCACTCTTCAATCATTGTGAGGTTATATAATTCAATTTAAATATAACACTCCATCCAGAAAGATTTTGAATAAGGAAGTTAAAACGAGTTTTAGAATTGGGTTCTTTGCTAAATTCTGGGGACTCTGTATTTTTGAAGTATTTCAAATCTTCGTTGTTGTCACAATACACATGGATGAATGTTTGTACACTGCATGCAAATGACTGCTTGGACCATCATTTTCATGCTGTGGTGGTGACAGAATGGCAGTGTGTTGTATCCTTTCTAGGCAATAGTTTTTTATTTTATTTATTTATTTATTCATTTTCCAACTATGTTCATTTCACTTTGTCTATTCTTTTAAAGTCCCTTTGCGGAACACAAACGTCATCTGATGACACAGCATCATGTTGTGGTAACATAGCTTGGAGTAAATATGTGTGATTATATATATGTACATCTATATCTATATTGAGTTTCGGATTTTGATGGTTGTTTTGGTTGTTCAGTGTTATAAATATGTTCCCATATTGTAAAAAAGACATTTGGGTACAGCCAACCATGTTCACTAGTAGAGAGAGCCAGCCCCATGTTCTTTGAGAAAAAATCAATATATGCTCCAGTATTATTATTATTATTATTATTTTGTTTTCATTCATCAACAAAATATAAATAGAAGATATATGGCTGGATCACAGAAGAAAGGGGGGGGGATTAAAAAAATAAACAGAAAAAGCCAAGATTGTGTGGGTCGGTGTGTGGAGTAAGACATTAATAGCTTTTATAAAAAGGGTTTGGCTGGGCTTTGATGGTTGTAATTACTGTCCACAAGTGGGTCACTTGATTTCCCACTGACAGTTAACAATACTCATTGTTGGTTGGTTGCATCTTGCAGGGTCAATATAAACCAATTATGCAAAAAAGTAAAAAGAGGATTATGTGATGGGTTGACCCTTTGCATTCTGTGATCCCACTTCCTCCATTCATGTTCCCAGCATTAAGTAGAACCCACCTTTTCCTTTTTCCACCTCGTTCACCTTTTATCTATGTATATACATATTTTTCCGGAATTGGGCCCAAAATTCCAACCAGATCAACACAATCCACTCTGCTGGGACGAGTTTTTTTTCCCCCAGTCGACATAACCAGCTATGGCAACAACAATAAAAATAACACACTATTCCAAGCAACAACAACAACAACAATAACAGCACCCACAAATGCCATAAAAAACGGGGGAAGACGGATGACCCACCACAAGGCCCACATGAACGGAGGAAAGCATCGATCTTACACACCGAGTACAGCGTGGCCTGCCCCGTCAGCGACTCTCTCCCCTCCGCCAGTGACGTGAAGGTTGGTGTGCCACGTCAGCAAGACCCACCTCACGACCGGAGTATATCTAGGAAAAGGGCAGCCTGGCTTCCCCTCTTCAGATTTGAGTCGCAACCCATCTGGATTCCCACCGAACCCGCGCAAAGGAGGATCAGTCCTACAGACAGCCACTCCGTCGTGGGTCATCCCCTACCCGCTCTCGGTGCTACCCACCCGCTCCCCCCACCCACCTCCCTCCCTCCCTCCGCACATTAAGCAGTCTTTCTCGCTGTGGGCTCATGTGCTGCCCCTTCTTCGCAGTGAGTAAGTGCACTCTATTGTAGTAGCAGTAGTAGAAGAAGGCCCAAATGCTTCTCCTGATTGTTGCTCAGTCTGGATTTAGTTTGCGTTATTCCACCTCGGAGTTAGCAAATGGTACTGTTGGCTGGCTGGCTGGCTGGCTTTGAGCCGTTGTAGAGGACGGACGTGAGTAGTTGGAGCGTGTTGTGCTAGCTGTGGTGTGCAGAGAGGTTGAATTCGTGGCAGCGAACGAGGTTGTCGGATGATGATTTTGCGGTGGTGAAACGCGTGCGCTGGTCGCTGTTATTCGTGATTCAAGTTGGCGGCGTTCATCGAGGTGTGTTTGGGTTCTGACTCAAGCTGGGTTGGGTGCAGTTTTGGATATGGGTTGGGTTTTTAGCCGGAGATGGGCAGGGTGTTGAAGGTCGAAGTATTTGGAGAAGTGCAGTTTTTGGAGTGTTGTTGAGGGGTTCTTTCGTGGGTCACCGGGTGATTCAGCTAGAATTTATTTTGTAGGGAAAGAGTCATTCTCCGTTTCCGGTCTTGTGGAGACATACCTTGATTGTTGATTTAATTGAGCTGTTTGGCAGCTTCTTGACTTTGATTATGATTCCCAGGGTATCAGACCTTGCAACCTTTGCGAGACCCTTTTCAAAGAGGTTGCTAACTTGAGAGGGTGTAGGTAACTACTGATGGAACGTAAATTGTGCCTGCTTGAAATCAATCGAGTCGATACTGACTTGGTTTTGTTTTGTTTTGTTTTTCCTTTCCTTTCCTTTAATTAGTCTTTGTTGCGCTCCTCATGTGCAGTCCACAGCAATGGAGGTGAAGCCCATGAGTCCTGGTTCTAACTTCACTACATATAGCCTGCCGACCTCGCCTACCGCCAAGAACGTGGGTGTCCAGGGCATAGATGCTCTCGTACACCAAACTTACAATCTTCCTCGTCCAAAAACCGCCTCGAGCAGCAGCTTATTTCGGTTCCTGCTCTGCTCTCGACCGTGCTTCCAACATTACGTGGACGTCGATATTGGCCATGACGATGCAACTGTTGACTTCGATGAGGAGTCCAATGGTCGAGTCCATTACTTGGACAGCGGCTGCAGCCACGAACAGTGGCAACAGCGAATGGAGCTCCAGGCTGTGATGCGCCACTTGGAGGTCCGGTGGCAGCTCTTTGACGAAGCGCTCTCCAGATTCCGAGACTTGGAGGCAATGCTTGCCATCTGCGCGGACAGAGTTCGGTGGAGACATCACACGGCGACTGGCGTCAAGGATGCGCACGTAGCCGAGGATCTCAACAGTCTGATCTCTAGGAAGCTCTCGATGGAGGTGAGCATCAACAGGATTACGCAGCTGTTGCCCACGGGGGAATTGGGTGCCACTTTCGATCGGGATGGATACGGGAGGGAGACCCAGACGAAGGGCAGTTCTCGGGTGGAAGCAGCGATGGGTTTGTATCAAGAATGCAGGGACGATTTCGGCAGTGACAAACTGAGAACCGCAAGGCTCTGCGTACTTGAAGAGGATTCCTACACTCTTTGTAATCAAAGGGTATGATCACAGGACTTGTTTTCCTCCATTTATTGTGGATTGTCCATGGGTTTCCACTCGCAGTAGCAACAGTCATGTAGTTTTATTCGTGCAGAATTTCATCTATTTGGATGTACATTGCTAAGTTCTTTGCATAAATTTTATGAGTGCCACCACGTGTTACCTGTGAGTGCAAATTGCTAGTTCTATGCTTTTTTAACGGAAAGATACTGATTTGGGTGGATCTCCATCATGTGCAGGGTGAGGTGGTAGAAGTGGGCAATCAATTGGTGATTTGGGAGCAGTATAACGCTACATGGTACATTCGCGGATGTATAAGCTACCCTGCGAATACCAAATTGAATTACGCGTGAAGCATGGGAAGCTGCATCAGCCAGCTACTCTCAACTCTAGATCTTTCGAATGATTACAGTAGTTGGGTCTGTTGAAGTTGACAATTCAGTATTTGGCAAAGCCACTTTTGCCGCACATTTGTATTATGGAATTTGATCTTTCAGTTGGTGGTTGATGTAGGTTTCATAGTGTAATCTTTGATTAAGGTGACCCAAGGCTATCAATTAGCAGTGTCACTTCTCACTTAAGCTGTCAAATTACACCCTCTTTGAGGTGTATTGAATTTATTACGGTAGGCGGAGACGGAAGGTGACTGTGAGTGGTCCTTCCGAGTGACGAAGCAGAAAGTTCCTTCACTGGATCCTTTCTTGCAGCCGAGATGCTGTGTAATGGTTTGTAGAGCATCACTGTACAAAGTGATGGAAAAGTATGGCTCCATCATACGAGTATGTTAGAAGTTAGTACCCTGGAAACGGAGTACCAAGTCTTTTGTACATTATTGCAACAAGATTGACTCTTCAAAGTTGGAGTAAACTGGAACGTAGGGATATTTGCACCCTTGTACGTGAAGTTTGTTGTGTGTGTTGGTGCTGAGCTTTTTTTACTTTGTTTTCCCTTTAAAGTACACATTTGAGGTACGCTTCATTTGTCCCCAAGTCATACTGAATATCTGAATCTATGCCACTCAACGTGATATAGTTCAACGTCTCTTTCTCTTACGTACAGACGCCACTAACCGTAAGAATGCCATTTCCAGTGATTCACTGAGTGAAATACTTCTCTTCTGAAAGCATTACTTTGTCGCCATTACACACGAAGTCTGGCGCCTGTTGGAGCCAACTCACCCTCCATGTTGTCACAATCACTTGTGGCATCGGAATTTGTCTTCCTGAATGGGAATTCATCGCAGATTGTCAACAAATGCCAAAAGGAGGTTGGAAGCATCAGCTGCTAAATGTTGTACATGAGACTGGCAGTTCAACTACTGCGATTGGGAATCCCAGCTGGATGGATACGTCACGATTGGAAGGATGCAGCAGTATCTCTGGTACCCGGCAAAGCGTGGGCAGTTTCGTTTTAGCAAGTCTGATTATGGGGCCTCAGTTTGGATATACCGTTGCTTAGATTAGTTTGGCAAAAAGCTGTTCAGGTGGGTGGCAGGGTTGAAATATACTTGTTAACAGATAACATGGTCAAGAATGGTAGTGCTCTATAAAATCTCCCTCATGACACATGTTCCCAATATGTTGTCACCATGTTTCCAGTTGTACAGGCGAACTGCTGTGCAACAAAGTGTTTGGAAAAAAATGCACTTGGTTGCTGTTGCTGTGAAGTGCACTGGAATGCTTCAATGGCAATCCACTCTTTGAATTCGTCTTGTATGTTGTTTGTTTATAGTACGCTATCACTTTAATATCTATATATATATATATATATATATATAAGTATTCCTAGTAATATTAACATTACTATTACCTTCAATCAACTGTTGTTGTAGGTTTGTCTTTGCTATTTATTTTTTATGTATGTGGTTTACTTCTCAGTTCTTTTGCATTCATTTAACTGAAGTGATTGAATTTTTTGAAATTCAACTCTTGTTTCTATTTTTATCTTTATTTCCTTTTGACTGATCTCTTATACACAAGTTTCCCTTATTTTCATCAAATCAACTCAAACGACCAACCAAGCGAATATTTTTTTTCATTAATTTCAAATACTAAATAAATACCTTCTCAACAAAAAGAATAGAACCATATTAGTAAGGTTTCTATGGATCTATTTTGAATACTGTGATTGTTTAGACTTTTTAATACGTGGTTAAAAACTTGATTGGAAGTGCAACAGTAACATTTACGTACTTGTTTTGAATAAATAAATGAAAAATGATAAAAGAAAAGTAAATAATAGAAAAGAAAAGCTAAATTGTTTGGTGGGAACACAAACAGGTTGTTTTGCAAAAATGTATCCTATCTATTCTTCTTCTAATTAATGTATTTTTTTATTTAATTTCCTGGCACCTTACCACTGCATGAAGTATGACTAAGTTCAAAGACTTCAGAAATTAAGTGAATTGATGCAAGCTTAAAAAAAAAAGAAGCATACTATACTGGGTAAACATTTATGTTGTTCAGGATTGTTATAAAAGTTTTGGAAAGATAGATATAGTATTATAACTAATATATATATATATATATATATATATATGTATATTTTTTTAAAAAATTGTTGTTCCTAGAGAGAGTTGGCAATTGGGTAACACAAAGTCAGCACTTTGTCTTCAAGAGGTAAACCCTGACACTACTCAACAAACCTGCCCTGTGTATTGCCACCGCCAAACGTCTGAGAGCGGCGGCCGCGGCCGCGGCCGACAGCGTCGGAAGACGAGCGGCAGAAGGCGGCGAGCGGCGGCAGGTGCACCGCCAGCCAGCCTCGTCTTGCTCCAAGCGGTCGGTCGGTATCGTCACGGTTCAAGGTGGTGAGGAGACGGTGAAGGGGTTCTCGACACTGCCGACGATCGCAGCCAAGTCGTGCCAGAAACCCTCTAGCCTCCGCGGCATTACGGTCCTAGTTTCGGTAAGCTATTTTCTTGCGATTGATGTTCAGTAACTTTTGAAGAAGAATCTGGAGTCGGTATGAAGTGCATATGTTGCGGTTTTCTTTTTCCGGAAAGTTTTTGTTCCTTGGGACCGATGTTTGGGGTTTCACAAAATTGGTATTGCGGTGCGGCCGACATAGCCGAGTGAGGCCCGAGCCTCGCTATCGTTTTGATAGGGTCCTTCGACGATGTGTAACATGCCGGCAGATCGCGGTTCATGAGCCATTGGTTCTCGGAGTTGCGGTCAGTTAGGGTGTTCGTTTGGTCATGATTTTTTTCGAGTGCAAGGGCTAGTTTGACAGACAGAGGGTCGAGGTCGAAATTGGAAACAACGTTTGGTACCGGCTGTTGAATTGTGTGTGTGAGGCCTTTTTTTTTTTGCACGACCAGGTTGGCGTATGCGGAATGCCCGGCATTGGAAGACGTAGGAGGTGATAGCTGGTAGGTAATCTTGGAGTCTGACGAAGTTTCGTGGCGTGCTTGACTCAGGAAGGGATGATTGAACAGGAGGGAGACGCTGCAGGAAGAGATTTTTCTGGTAAGTGCAGTCGTCTGCCTTGTACATTGTGATTGTTTTTTTTGCTTAGGTTTTGAGTGTTCTACGAGCTTGGGTACAAGCGTTCTTGTTGTTTTTATTATCTTCGATTGCCGAGTTTTAGTGCTGGAAACATTTGAGCCGAGTTTGCACGGGAATGCAGTGGTGGCGTGGAGAGGGACGCATACTGAGGGCGGAGAAGGGAAGGACTTAAGAGGTGATATGGCGCTAGCGAAAAGAGGAACCACTCGTAGGATACAACAGCGAGGGAATTGGTCAGAAGAGAGCATGAAGGAGGCAATTAAGGAGGTGAAGAAGGGAACGGCTTCCATAGGCAAGATTGGGGAGAAGTACGGAATACCGGAGTCCTCAATCCGGGATTGGTTGACGGGGAAAACATCTTCCAAGAAGAAAGGTCCACGCACCGTTCTCACGAAGGAGGAGGAGGATTCAATGGTAGATTGGTGCCTTGACATGCAAAGAAATGGACACGCGATTACTTTCTACATGCTCCGAAGGAAGGTCGCAGATGTGTGCCAGGGTAGAGAAACCCCTTTCAGAAATGGAGTACCTGGAAAAAGCTGGATGGACTGGTTTCGCAAGCGTCACCCTACTGTCATGATCGAGGCTGCTCATGCTTTGAAGGGCAAGAAGAGGAATGATACACCGAGAGCAATCTTAGGTAACGTGTTTCTTTCGTGGAAACACGCTCATATACTCTCTGACCACAATGATTTGCTCTGCATCTGTTATGCATTCGTTTGTTACGGCATTGTGACTACGAGGCTTAGGTTGAAGTTTGCGTTTTCTCTATTCAAGTTTTTTAAAAGTTCCTCCCGAATATCGCATGTAATTCGACAAGATGTGAGAGTTTCCTTTTGAATGCATTGACAAGATATCCCTTATTTTTAAGATAAATAATTCCTGATCGCAGCAAACAGGTCTTTGACCTGTTGATAGAGTGTACAGTTCTCTTTCATTTCTGTTATTCATGTGCCACTGGAACAGTCAAATACTATTTTTGAGTTATTTGGTGTCTACATAGTTGAATGCGTCTATGTAGAGTACAGTCGTGTGATAAGAAATGCTTTGTGTTGGGATCATGAATGGAACTCTATTTGGTCTTTGCTTTTTGCTTTTTGTGTATAGTAGAAGTTTATGACCCTCGGGATTTTATTTTTTGGAGAACTTTTGGTGTATCTTCTTAGTATTGTGTCACCCTAGCTACGATTTCGCCTTAATCCGATTAGATGGTCTAAGTTACCAAAGAAAAGGTCTGACGGAATAAACAGATGGCTTGATTGCAAGGGAAGAAGAAGATGCAGTGAACAGAGATTTGTTTGGGGCTGCAGGTAGCGAATCATCACCAATGGACTCCAATGATCCACGTGACATCATGTTGCAGGTTCGTTTTCACCTTCCAGACGGTTGGAGGTGGCCTTCCCACTCCTCAGTTTCCCTGGACAATGAGAATCTGCATTTTGTCCTAAGAAATTTAGTACTGATGTCGTGAAATCATCAGTTGCAAGTACGTATGGTAAACTGAATTCTGTGCGTGCTTGAATAGTTGATGCAGCAGGAACCTCACATGGATGGTCAGCTTCAGGCCCAGCTTCCTAACCAGATACAGAATCAGATTCAAACATCCATGTCGGCTCAGATGCAAGGTCATCTTTCTGCCCAAATCTCGTCACAGCTTCCAAACCAGCTTACTGCTCAGCTCCCGCCTTCAAGGCCAATGGAAACGGTTAACCAGGAGGAGAGTACACCTGGCTATGAGCCGTGGAAAGGTGATAACTTGATTCTTTTTCCTACAAACCCGAGGGAAAAATTCTTGCTCAGCAACAAAGCAGGCTTTGTAGTGTTCCATAGTCGAGTATATTTAAGGGGATGCTTACAATTAATGCAGCTTTTACCCAAGTATTTTGGTTATAAGCAGTGTTTGTTGGCTTTCAAATATTTAAAGCGAGGTTTGAGTTTACTTATCTTTGTGTGGTATAATCTGAAGCTTTAGTTCTCATTTTGTGGATTGATTACATAAATTTTAACAGGTCAGGATGGCGGTGATCATGATAACGAACGTGATGAACCTGGTGATGGAAGGTTTGACAGTGAAGACAGTGGTAGCTTTCCCTCCAGCAATTCCCATCCAGGTGGCAGGTACACAGTGGTCTCACTATGCCCAATCTTCTGCGGAACCTTCTGCTATAATCGAATTACATGAATTAAAATTGAAAAACAGATAACTTTTATACGTTACTGTCAAAGAAGAGATTTTTTTGTACTGATCATGCCGACCGGGTTTAGTGAATACTGGGAACAGATGTTCACACAGTGTTATTGTTTTCATGTTCGCGAATAGAAAGTATAGTGTTCAAGACAATGAGCGAGCTTATTTTGTTTTATTTTAAAAAAATGCTGGTTTTACAAGTGCGTATTTTTGCCAATATGTATTATGTTTGGTTGTCATGGAGTATTTGGTATCTAAATGCTTGTGTTATCTTGTCGTACAGAAGATGGATCGAGTTTTTGGAGGGTATGGCTGGATTGGAACGGACTATCAGGGAAAGTGAAGATCGAAAGGATCGTCGGCTTGAACGTCAGCTTGAAGCAAATGAACGTATTGCTGCCAATTTGATTGGAGCGCTTGGTCAGGTTTCCGAGTGTCTACGAATCATAGCCGCCAGAGGAATTGGTGGTGCAGATATGGGGCAAGCTGTAAGTGCTCTTGGAAACCTGGGAGAACTGAGTGCCGAGCTAAGTGCCGGGTTGGGTGGTAGCATAGGGGATCAGCAGCCCTAATGTGCATGAATTGTGGGGCTGCGTAATCAACTGGAATAATGAGCGAAGTGCAGATAAACTGAAATTGCAGACAAGTTTCTTTTAACTGAGGCAAGTCCCTAGCTACTAGGCAGGCAAGCACAGTTTTCCCTATCCAAAGTCCCCAGACGGTAGATGGGGAATAGGCTGCGTAGCCTGAGGTGGTATGTGTAGCAAATACTGGAAGTGCTCTGGTTATTCGTGTCAACACCATGGTGACAGGCTCTTTGTGGCGGCATCAACACTTGGAGGTTGATGCCTTTTGCCACCAAGATTGCAGGAGTAAAGTACAGACGATCAGCATGACGGGTGGATTTTGCTGCAGAAGGTAAAAGGCTGTCTCCTGTTCTGGTTCAGTTGGAACTATTCGCTTGGCACACCACGAGGATCGTGAGGATAGTACCTTCTGGTGGATTCTGATATATGTACGATATGGAATACCTCTTAAGTGCTCAGCCGTGTGGGGGTCGTTATGGTATCATTATAGGCATCGTTTTGGATTTTTCAGGTATGTAAATTGTCCAGTGGAAAGTTTAAGATTCAACTAATAGATTTCAAGCTGGGTGCACTTGTTTTTGATCCACCAAGAGAGTATCTATATTTTAGATGAACAACTTTCTTGAGACTCGGTGTCTTCATGCTGCAACGCTATATAATGCTTCTCTTCTCCTATTTTATTCGGGAAGTAAAGAGTATCTAGGCATTTCTCCACAATGATTCCTCCCAATTGTATCTGTGAAAGAATTAGCTGGTCAGGAAGTCTACTGACTATTTTGAAATTGTAACCTATTGCACTTCCCTTGTTCCTTCGTCAATAGTCGATGCCTGTGTTGCTTCTATCTTGGAGGGTACATTGAATATGATGATCTTGCCGTATGCACTCGAGAGGATTTACTTGGACCCTATCACGGGCGCAATATCTATCAAGCAGATCCTTGAAAATACTCCACATTGGTTTCAGCTGCCTCGAATGGTTTCAGACCAGCGTTGCTGAAGCATACAATGTATTCACGTAGCCCCCTAAGAAAGAAACAATTCCTCACAAATGAATATCCATATACACAGGCAGTAACTCTTACAAACTATGTTTTTAATTTTTTTTTACTACACATGACATGACAACCAAACCTCATGGCAATGGTTTCATAGTTTTGAGTCATGCACAAATAATGTTCCACAAAGTTCAAATCTATCGTCATGTTCCCACAATCTTACTATCGAATACGGACAATGCCGACGGTGCATCAGGTTTGTGATGCTCTAATTTCCATGGATTCTACTTCAGAACACCATCCTGAAAACAACAGTTTCTACAACAAATAGTCAATACCAGGACTTGTATTAGTATAATGAATCAGAGGCTCAGCGTATGAATGACAAGGGCCAAACTCATTCAACACTCATAAAACATTTGAAGAAAGAGGGTTAAAACTCTGTCTGGTCACAAGTTCGGTCTTTTGTTTAGGCCTCCATGTTGTCCTGGCGCGAACAATTTCCAGCTTTCTGGAACCTTCGATGTATTGCAGGAGGTGTAGGAACTGGCAATTCGGCGCCGGATTACTACTGCCTCCGAGAGTAGTGCCATTTCGGTCGACACGGGGCGTGCCGTTGTTACCATATTGATCCACGCCGGTGTCGAAGATGCCGTCCCGCAGCGATGGTTCTTCTTTTTGCAGTGGTAACTTGGAGCTGGTTAGAGACTCGAAGATGGTTTTGAAGTGGCAATCTCGCCTGTACTCCACTGTTAGGCTTTTCAAGTCATTTGTCTCCATGTGTTCCTCTGGAACACTCTACAATTACCCTTCCCCCCACCCCAGAGAAGAAATCTTGAGCAAGCACCAACTGGAGTCACGGAAACAGAACAAATTCGTGACTGGGCACGGTTTTCAAAGCACCGTCCCTCACGATTCTATATGCTTTGCAAATGAGTCAGCGAATAAGCGTGTAGCAGTTGAGAAATTGGTGGCACTTTCTGAGAGGCCAAGTTTGTAGAATGTGGTTAAGACACAGAAGTTAACGTTTTGACGCATTACAAGGTGATTCCATAGCACTAACGGTAATCTAGTTAAGTAAAATATACCACATAGAAGCGAGTATCAACTGTTGTTGGTGGATCATACCTGAAGAACCCAACTAATGTACTTGTGATTGCTCACATGTTGATTGCTGTCCAGATCCTTTCTGGAAGTCTGGGAAACATCACCGAAATCGGTTACCCCTGACCCAACTCCTCTTCCACTTCAGCAGGCCTCTTGCAAAGTCGGCGTGTTGTAGAGTGCATCATGCACCAAGTGCTGCACACAAAACCAGTCGGTCAACCGGTTCATGAATATTACATTTGTTCCCCGTCAGTTGATATATCGTCGGAGTACAACAGTTACTATACCTGTTCATCTCAAGATCCTACCTTACAATAAGTGAATTAGATTGGCCAGATGCAGCAATGCTTGCACATTTGTGCGTGCCTCCGGGATCACCCGGTGACTCTGGGAAATCTTACAACCGCGCAAGTAATCCCGCAGGCATTACAATTAAGCTTAGTTACCATTTGGGAAACTGCTCAACTTCCACATGCGTTTTCGCCACGGCCCAGATGAGTACCAGATGGTTCGTGGCCCTTGTGGCTCCGATTCCTCCGAACATGTCCCCTGCAATGCCTTCTAAAATGATTTGGCACAAAACGACCTCCTGCCAACACATAACGTGCAGTCCTGGATGGGCAGGTCAGTTATAGAACATGTAACATTTATATGTATATTCACAGCGCAATCTACTTTGCGATTGCGTCTTTTAGACAGACATCACTACCCACCAACATGCGGAACACATAACTCTTAGAAAAGGTGAATCTGAATGTATGACTCTGGCGATACTCAGTACACAACAACCTTCTTCAAGCTGAAGATTCATAGAGTGCTCGTCCCACAGCTCACTTGAAAAAATCTGAAGATTGTGGAAATGGAGACCTCCTTGTCTGCACCCGCTTCATACACACGGATCGGAAACTTCTGTCTGTAGTGCTTGCGATATTTGTCCACAAATTCTCCAAGACGCAATTCGTGGTGTAGCTCCGGCACTACCTGCTTCACATCCGCTGAGCTGAAATCATTCTCTGAACTGCTTAGCGAAGACGGATCCTCCTCATCAGCGTGATCAGCTGGGTGGTTTGAGGTCGTGCCGACGTTGGTGATTTGTGCTTTCGAGCTCGGTGTGCGATGATTCAAGATGGCTCCGACCTCAACAATGTGAACCCATCTTAAATTTCTCCTCATAGACAAGTTCGGAATTGATAATTTCCTCCTCAAGGGCACCAAGACAGGTCCATAGAGACTGGCCAACACTGGACTAGACGACTGCCGTAACTGCGGCGCTCTCGTAAGATTTCCCATAGTCAGCAGGTGATCCATGAGAGAAATATTCGAAATCTGCAAGATGGTAATTCAGAGATGGCGGTATGAAAAGTTGCAGTGTCAGTAAGACAATTGCGATCATGCAAGAGCTTTAGTCTGAACACACTGAATGATCCAGTTTTATACCTTAATATTATAGACGACTGATCAGTCCACTGGAGGAGCCATTACGGCCTGCGCCGTAATACATGAAGATTGCATGGATGTTACGGAGGGTCGATTGTGGTATTAATTCGAAACAGCGATCCTTGTTCAACAAACTTGACTGCACTGGATAATCCCGTCTGTATGAATTAACAAAAGTTTTGAAAAAGTGCATCATTGACACATGTTTAAAACATGCCAAGTGTCAACCGGATGCATTATTGTTTTCAATTACAGACGGCTTTTGCAGGGTGTACTTTCCCAACATCTGCAAATTAATATTTGGGATTAAGGAGAAATTTGCTACATTACATCATTTTGTCAACTAAACCACCTACGGATGGCATCTATACCACATTTTCAGTCTTTCGATTACTGTGGTGTTGAGCAGGTCCAATGACCACTATATTTTCCACCACTCAATCTGCTATCAAAAATTTATAATAAGTAAAGCTAATGCCATCGAGGCAGTACTGGAGACAATCCAGCATCTACATCTGGGGTCTCGTTTGAACGACGTACAGTTCACCATCCTTGATCACACCTTCAATATCCTGTGCGGACCCTAGTAATTTCTCAATATCGTATCCTGCCTGTGCTATCTTCGTCAAAATGGTCTTCTGAAAAGCCTCGTCTACAATCAAGCGGTCAGTGGAATAGTCCACCACTCTTTCTTCCTCGAAGTCCATAGGTACACTGCAACAATTCAAAACACAAGTTTAAGCTCACATAATCCGAGTGATAGAATCCACGTACACAACTGTTTACCAGCATCAACTATCAAATTCGAAGCAACCAGGTGCATTCAACATTAGACTTTTCCTGAACAAGGAATACATTCTACTCTAATTCTGCTCTCAAAATATAGATTTTCATGTTACGAGTGACCAGAAGAAAAAACTTCTTCAAAGGTAACCTTGCACTGATATTAAGTAACACTTGAAAAACAATTGACTTCTTCATTTTGAATGATAGACAATCAAAAGTTACTTGGAGCAACACACACCTGTCATAAAGACCGGCGCCAGCATATCCCTCCAAGTCCTCTCCGTTCGAGTCGGATCTGAAAATAATTGATGGGTTGATGAACAAGCCTATCCGCTTGCTAGGATAACCCAGAACCTGGCAAAACACGGACAAATTAATCGAAGAGGACAACGTCGAAGCAACAGGAACAAGAACAAGAGACCACATTATCAAACCATAATCTGACAAGGTTAAGGACAAACCTTGGGATTCTTAATATCTGACTTTTTGGCTACAAAGCTGAGGGCACGACCCGAGTATGCTCCAACAAGAGTTTCACCAAGACCCTTCACAATCTGCATATAATTCGAGGGTCAGTTATGAGGATGAGCACAGCGCCAGACGTTTATGATCCATGCATTGTGTATATACGCCCTAAATTAAATTATGTCTACACGTTTTTCTCCATAAATATGTCATGCTTACCTCTGCATAAATCTCTGTCTCGTCTTCAGTGGATGGATTGACGGTATGAATAACGAAGGCATAATCAGCTTGGATGATCTCTTGAACCAACACTGCCATGCACAAGTCGCTATGATCTATCTTGGCTTTGCGAGTACTGAAATACGCTCTTTCGTTCCATTTTGAAGCCCACACCTGAAATCAAAATTTAAAATTGAAATATAATGATTTTAGTGCTGCATCCTTCTATACTTATAAGGTACGAGAGTTAAGTATTTTCAGAATAAAAAAAACTATGATCTAATTCATATCCGCATCACCAAAGCATCACACTTCCCAACGTTAGAACAGTACGACATAAATTTTGTTAAAGATTTCGTTTGCTACATTACTCGTTATTAGACCGTTACTGCTGTTGATAGATTTAGCGCTATCACTATTGAATACCGTGTCTCACTTCATACTGATACAACTATTCGGAGAGTAGATGAGCAAACATACCCTCTTGATAGCAGTCCAAGCTTGCATCCATCTCTCCTCGCTTTCATCTCCAGGCCATGGCATACCTGAACCTTTCAAAGTTGTTTTCAACTCCTCAACCTGAACACAGTTCAATGTGTGGTTACAGGCCATCTGAAACTTCGCTTAGGAGCATCTCCCCTAACAATATTGTTCATGTTTGCGGAAATTGAGGACGTGAGATACGCTAGATTAAGAACATCAAAACTATATTTCTGGCTCGGTTTTTTTTGTCAGAATGATCAGAGCTTACCAATGCTGGAGGCGCTTTAAGGTTCAAGACAGTTTCTCGAGCATCCTTCAACTTACTGAAATCACCATCAGCCAGCTGCTTACTGAGGGATGCAATCTCAGTAGCCACATCCTGAACAAGAAAAAATGTGCTTATTGAATAAAAGATTACAGAACTTAGCACCAGAACTGAATACAAAAACAACAAATTACTCTACTGTAGTGTATATTGACACGAAAAACTAGCCTTCCAATGGGTGACGTCATTAGTTCGCTCGACAACCAATTTTTGAAGTATATTGTATATATATTATGCCATCATTACAATGCACGCATCCTAACCTTGTTGATACTCTCTGCTAAAACCTTCTCGAAAACTCCAAATGGCAATGCTGCCGAAGTAGGGAGGCGAACCCATGAAGGCAATTTTCCCCTCAAATTGGCTATATTACGGGATTTAGCGCCGACCTGAACAACAGAATAAATAAACAAAAATGTCCGACACGAACTCTTAAACACTAAAGCAGAGGCCTGGTTCTCTAAAATGTACACGAGATTATGATTACTTCCTACATTTTATGTCTTTCATTTTATTAGAAAGAAAGTCAAAAAAATGACAAGCCACAAACATTTCTTAAGAACTGTTGAGTTGATTTTAAGTCTGAGCAATTAATTCCGGAAGATGTGAGCATATTCCAAGAAAACTTTGTGACGAATGAGGCATGCTACAAGAGAAATTTGTTTTCATACCATATCTGGAGTGAACTCATCGGCTGATATAGCATATTTCCCAACAAATTTCTTCTTTTTCAAAACAATCTTTGGAGGAGGTGCCTGGCTATCGTCTACTGCAATCGCACTAGCTACCTCCGCTGCCCCGATTTCACTGCAAGAAAAGAACAGCGTTCATATTGGCATCGGAGCTCAATTTCATACGAGGTCAGATGTGTCACTGCATGATGGCACAGACATTTGAAGGGACCTGTAAACACAAAATACATCTAGCGGGAGAAACGGCACAAGACAAACCCAGAAATTCCTACCTGTATGATAGGTCAGCATTGGCAGAAATCTGAACAGAAATTGCCTTCTTGTCCTTCTTTCGTAATTCACCAAGAACGTTCGGATCAAAGCATGTTGCGAAGCAGATCTGAGATTACAAACCAACAGTAGCGTGAAACATATCACGATGTTGACGGTAAGCAAAAGACGAAGAAAAAGAAAAATACGATACTGACTTTTAGCTCCTGAACTGGATTCTGTTCTTGGTGGACGAGTATGGCATGGACAAAGACTGTCAAGTTTCAGATCGGCAACAAACCTTGCCATTACGAGCCCGTACAGAGACATGAGAAAGGACGTCAGGCATATCCGGGGTTAACACAGCCACAGCGCCATCAGGAATCTCTTCCTCTCCCTTCACACGCCCTGACACCAAAATTGTGGGGCGATCGTATACCTTGTCTTGCACATGCTCTAATTCATCAACAACTTCAATGAAGCCCTTCACGTCGACCGGGCTTATCACCTGCCAACTTTAGACACGCAGGACAAATCTCAGACTCTAGCGCACAAGTAGTTGGAGTAAGTAATATGATAATTTCGTCAATCAGGAATTAATGAGAATTTAAGTGACTGCCAACCTGCCCATATGTGCCTCCTTTCGTATAATTGGGTCAAGCCTGTTTAATAGTTGAGATAGCGATGCTGCCGAGCCTGATCGGATCATTTCTTCGGTAAAGATGTTTACCTACGTCAGACGAAATTTTTGGAAATGCTTTCAATACTAAGCTAAAAAATAGTTTGAGTTTTCTTTGGAACAATGGAGAACTCCTCTGAGCATAGAAATAAATACTGAATCACAGATCTTGAAACTGAGGGAATCGTAGAAAACATCCAACATCGTGAGGATGAGTTCGAAGACTCACAGCCCACTCTTCTACTCCAAGCAACGCTCCAAGATATTCCGCAGTTGGCTGGAGAATTTTTTGATAATATTCCGCTTTGTCTTGCAATGCAAGTCGTGTACGATCAAGCACAGCCTTTGTTCTCAAAGCCCAATTGTGGCTTCTATTATTGATAATGTCGATAACGTGGTACCAATCCTGAACAAATAATTCAGAAAAAGAATATTACAAATGTGACAAGAAATTTGGGCTGATAGTAATGCCTTTCATGGTGGATAAAAACACAGTTCCAATGATTCGTAAAAACATCCAGCATACCTTCAAACAGTACACGAGCTCCTCGTTGTTATTGCTTGATAAAGCCAGGTTTTCAACCACCATACTGATAACAAGTGCTAGGTCCTGCAAGTTTTACAAGGAAAGGTTGCATTTAGAGTACGCACTAAACTGGACTGAATTTTACACTACTACGACGGAAAAATCAGAATGGTATAGCTTGCAAAGAATAATTTATCTAAATATGAAATAAAATCTGCAGGTAAAGAATAAATCATTTAGGCGCACAAACACGTACCGCTGGTCCTGAACTAGAAAAACCCTCCAGACCACGCTCGATAGCTGTGCGTACAGTTGAGTCCAAGGCCAAGTCCAGAAAGATAATGTCTCGTAGGCGGTCATGGGGTTTCAAAAGAGTTGGCCGCAATTCCCTTCGCGCTTCCAACAATCCCTGTACCACGTATCTTGTGAATTAAGAAAAACTTCCACAATAATAATAAAGATATTTATGTGCCGGTCATGGACTACATAAAACATCAGAACATAATGAAAATTCGAAAAATTAATCATATGGTACTGAATCTATTGATAGACACTATATGACTGCGGTTTCAGGTCAAATGCGTACACAATCGTCTTTTAAAGTGCACGAATCAAAAGTTATTAACGAATTCGTAGAAAGACGCATTCATATCCGCAACCATAGAATCTGAGGGGTGTAAAATTGAATACCTCAAGTAGCGGTAAAACATTCTTGTCTTCAACGTGCTCCAAGACGAACGCTAGAAGTTGCTGCATTTAGTAACCGCATCAACCAGTAAGACGGATGGTACTCTTGAACAACATCAGAGGCATTACAGACTCCAATACCGAGCAGACGACGCTATCTGGCTGAATGTACTGTCAGACTAAGTTTCTCTATAACATATAGGTTATTCCTACAAATACTTCAAAAATTAATGATATTTACTGAGCTACAGAGTGAGGCTTCAAACTTAAAATCTTATTTCTACTTCTACGGACATGAGCGGGTGAACAAGCGAGGTAGACCTGCATCAAAGTCGTAAGAAATACTTCTCATCTGTTTGATCAGACATACACAATTTTCATAATTGCACTAGACCTACTAGTAATAAACCTTGATTCAATAGAAGATTAACCTGATATTAACTTACAGGTAAAGCCCCAGACAAGCCACTTATCGGATGTATTTTGACATCACCCATGAAGCCGCTTCCCTACAACAAACAACAAGATTGAAACTTGAGACTTCATATCTAATACAGTTTTCAGGCACTCAGTTTTTCAGCATCGCAGTCGCAGCTACGCATCTCGTATGCCAAATATTATGTTAAAAATAAGTTCCAGTTTTACACACGTAATATGGATATTAATCAAGAGTTCTCTGGGGCCGCAATAATATCACATTCTCCGTCTGATAAATACACTCATATTAAATTAAAACTGTCATACAAAGTTCAACGAATACACACATAATTTCAAATTTGACTTTGTGTAGCAACGAGGACCAACCTGTGCAGTGTAACCCATGCAGGCTTGGACAGCAGATTCCAAATCAGCACCAGAGTGAACAGCCTGCCAAGCGTCAGGTAATAGTAAGATGTAGGACCTTCCAGCTAGGGTGCAGAAATTCCATACTATCATCACTTCAATCTATTGTGCTCTACGATATTAATTGGCAACTCCCGAGGGATTGAAGTCTTGGAGAATTCTCTGTAATAGACTCATGGAATAAACAGAACACAAGAAGCTGGGTATTGATATAAACCTTCAAAGTCCTCAAATAGTTTGTGAGATCTCTGATAAGTCCTTCCTTTTGATCATGTCTAAAACTGGGCTCTGAACCAATGTGACGATCGTAGCTGCGCATGCGTTCTTTAGTAACACCATTGTCGTTCAACGTTTTCCAATAGACTTCCATCTTGAAATCGCTCTTGATATAGTCCAGCAGCGCCTGTGTGAACAATTGTTAACAACACCCTCGTGTATACAGACGAGTAGACAAGTTTATTCTCCGACTTCACTACGGCAAAATTGAAAGTTAACCATTCAGTTACTGTTCATTAGACTTAATGTAGCATTTAAGCCTGAAACACTACCGGTGTCCTAAAACAAACTGCGGGCCCTGACCGTGCCCAAATAAACAAGGGTGTCTCATGATTAACTTTAAATACATTATGAATATTGAACAGCAATGACTATGCCAGCTACAGAAATAGTACGCTTGCTGCTGACAATTGGCTGCTGCCAGGGTATGAGAAATAACCTGGCAAATCACGACATCATCTGGACTAGTGTTGTTGTGAAGCTTCTGATGCCACTCTTCCATCATGCCTCCAGCACAATCGTTATTGCGCTGCATGTTAATACCAATGCAGGAAAAAGTCATTTTACTTAACAAAAACGTACCGCTCAAGTAGCTATGAATAATACTGTTTTACTCCCGCTAAACAAGAACTACGATTCCATGAGCGACACGGACTTAAAATCAAGGTTACGTTCGTTTGGTTTGAAATTGTATTCTCAACTTGAAATAGGATTGCTCTAGTACCAAATAATCAGCAAAGCCTGATTCAATTCTAATCCACATCCAAATATGTTATCTTACTCTTTATAAACGTAGTTGAGTTCGAACCAAATGACCCACCTGAACGACGAGGATTTCATCTCGAATACGTTGCCCCACATCACCTTCTCCTCCACGACCTACAGTACTCATTATGAGACGAATCATCTCTCTATTCTCGGGTTGTTCGGAAAACATTTGTTGCAGCAGGTTGGTAAGTCTATCTTGAGCTGCACTAATTTCTCTGCTTGGAACCAACACAATGCCCACGTCATTCTTCATAAATATCGTGTGCTCAGCCCAATCAACAAAAATTCAGGTACCACAATATTAAAAGCAACTGAAGGTTCAATCTATGTTTTTTTAGGTTCAGGAACGTCAAGTGTTACGATGATAGACGCCTTCAGCTGAAGAAAGCTGACTAGTATTAAGAGGCTGTGTATTCAATATGTCGAACACATGGATCGGCCAAAATAATTCTATTATTTCCTTCCACCTGCACCCATTATGCAGTGGAAACACATGAATATTCAGACAAGGGAAGAGTTCATGTGACTGACCTTGGCTTCACGTTGTAGTTCTTGTTCCACGTTAACTGTCTAGTGGCCATGTACCGCAACCAGACTAAAATCCCAGCCTGGGCAAGCTCTCCTTCATCCTTCGCCCGCTCCGTCAAACCAGTGGCAATGTTGTATCTGCGTACCATCACATAAAATGAAAGGAATATGATTACCAATGTATTTTGTGTGTGATAAGTATGGTCGCCTTAATTTCTATTCTGTGCTGCATCAGTATCACGGAACTCAACAAGTTTTTTACTGCAGAAGGATGAGGCAGTAGAGAAAATTGAGCACCTGTGCATGAGGGAGCGTTCAGCTTCACTCTCTTGACTAGCAATATCTTCCAGAAACTCCTTAGCAGTCCCTTTCCCGTCTCCAACAGCCTGAACGGCTTACAAAAATAAGGTTTTACGATATAGTTGCAGATACCGAAATTCCAGGACAAGGACAAGATTACTTCACAAACATGAACATTACTGACGGTATGAGAGAGAATAGGACTGATGACTTACGGACCTTGAATGCCGCTTTCTCCTTCGGTAGGACAGAAACATAGTAGTCCGAACCATTGTCCTTGTACCAGTTGCCCCCGCTATGCATTACGAATGGTATACCAATAAATTGGTTATCCCCAAGGTTGATTACAATACCCTGTAACATTATCCAAACGCGTCACACATACATGAATAACTGATGTAGAAGGAACTCAAAAGCAGACGAGGCACCTTCTTGAACGACATCGAAGGGATAACACAAGTGACAGGATAATATCAAATCGAAGGAATACCTGGAGGGAATCATCTCCGGCAAAGTTCTTAACAAACAAAGTATCAACTGTTCCTTCCTGAAGGGTAGATTCAGCGGGTGTAACAGTTTCCGGAGGGAGCTGCATCAACAGACAGTCTTTTTATTTATTAAATTAACCCAATCCTTTGTCTGCCAAGACAACCCTCTCCAATTTGACCATGTAAGTTAACATGAAAGTTGAACTGTATGAAGCTATCTAAAATTCTCTCGATGATCAAAATGTTTTATGATTCCATCACCGTAAGTGACAGATCTTCAATTTAAGTAAATACTGTAGAAATAGGGCTTTCTCAAAGACATGGATCCTCGTACGTCCAATACTGTAAATCCAGTTCGTGCCATTGACAGTTAAGTGCTTCGGTCAATAAGTTTAATACCAAGGTGAGAGATTCAGAGAAAATAAATCACAAATAAATTCTCTTATATATGATAGTTCACAGAAAACACATTAACATACCGCCCATTCTCTCGCATGGTCCTTTGAAACTGCCCATCGCATAACCAAAGGCTCCTTGAAGTTTGTACCAATATGAATATTAACTTTTCCTTCAGCCTTAATCACCAATACCTGGGTTCACAAAACATGCAACATTAGTGAACACAACGTCTCCAGCATCTGATGGCATGAGACTGAATTGAACAGCAAGATTCCATTTCGAATCTTACCAAAAGTTCATCATGTCCAACTCTGAAGAATTTCTTCGAAACAACCTCGTTACCCTCAACAGATTCCAATTGTTGAGCAGCTTTCTGCAAAGGAGAACGTTCTTTAGGAGGAGCGGGTGTATTTGACCCTGCTCTGGCGCCCGCAGTGAATTTGTTGAAAAGGTCGTCAGTGCTCCACTTCTTCCTTGTTATTCTAGACACACTCCTCCCCTTCGAATTATTTGATGACTTACTGCCTCCATTGTTGTCAGACTTCGAAGCACCATTACCGCTTGACTTTTGGCCGGTGTCACCACCTTGTAGCCTTAACTTAATTTTATCGATGGAAGTTCCTAGAGCAACCTCCCTCTGAAGCTCTTTGCGTGCTTCTTCATACTCAGCCTAGCACGCAAAATCAAGTCGGTCAACCACATGTCGTTCTTTCTAAGGAAATTTTTAAATTCCAAAAGGCCAGTCAGTTTTCATCATTCCTTGCACGGAGAGCTGGCTACAACTAACTTCGTCCAGTCAGTATGATTTCGACCATCCCAGAGTGACCCTTTGCATGGGGATACTCCAGATTCATAGAAGGTTTCAATGATGAATATACCCTGGTGGTAAATGCATACCTTCTCCTGTTCAGGGGAATAATTTTGTCTTCCCATTCGTTCCCAACGCAGATAAGATTGGATTCCGACAAGTTCCTCGGGAACATGGATCCCTGAGAGGTCCACATTCGATTGTGGAATATCAACTCGGAAATTCCCGCCGTTCAACTTGTACCTACAAAAGAAGCCGGCGGTACATACGATCAGAGCCAGAAACTCACAAAGTAGTATCTCCTAGATGGCCTAGTGGTCAAAAGTAGAGCATTGGTGCTATATATTGCTATCGCAAGTATCTTATAACTGGAATTTAAGGGCATTAAGAATCCAAGAGCACTAAAAGCTTGACGAAGCAGTAGGCAGTGATGTACCAAGCTAAGATGCAAGACTAAGTATCGACGAAACGCTCCAGAGAATTACGACCACAACAGCAGGAACAGACTAGCAGCTGGCAGATCAAAATAAAAAAAACGCTTAACCTAAAACTAGTGTCGCTCGTCTTTATCTTAACCCTCTGCGAACGATATACAATTAGCGATCTCCTAACTAACATCTCCATCAGGTTTTCTCCCACGTATACGTACGCAGAGGACTCAATCGAACACATGGTTAACCCACAAATCAACTCCACGGTAAGATAGATGATGAACTCACCAGTGATTCCTGTTCTTGTCGACCAATAGAAATTCTACGCTGTTAAGGCTAAAATCTGTAAAATCGATTGTGACTGATGCAGTGTCCCCAGCCTGTGACAGCATTACATGAGAAAACAACCACGTTACCATCACACTGGCGCATACTTCTACATTTATAGAAAAATGAAAGCACAACAAAAGAGCCAATTAGAGCACCCTCAAAACTGTAGTGAGACATTCACAAAATCGATAGCTGTCGTATTCAGTAAGTCCCATGAATACCTACAGTCTCAAGTACTACCATACATCCCTTCTAAGATAAGTAATTCATCAAATTCATCTTACCTTTTGAAACGGAGACTGCACTGCACCGTGATTTTCATAACTTCCTTCAGGTCGGTTGGTCGGAATAATCCAAGCACTGTAAATCAAATATTCCATTAGTAACACTGGCCATCTTTTCTGATATCCTTCACTGTTGACCGTGGACACAGGCTTCTAATTGTTTGGTGTTTGTTTCTGAATGCATCATGTACAGAATACCTCACGACGCCGAGGATAAACTAAACGTGAAGTGAAACTTTTACTGCTTTAATGTCTATTTACTGGGAGCCAATGAGTTCTACTCATCATAGACACAACTAGATAATGAAAGATATGATAGTACTTTTTTCCAGGTTGCAATGCGCCCCAGTGGAGTAGCAATGAATCAACGCGACAGTTGAATACTTCAAATTGTAATGATGCAGGTTTGCCAAGTGCTGCACCAGTAGCTTTGACCTGAAAAGAAAGATCATATCCGTTAACAAGAACAGAAACATACACGTGTGAACCAAGATATACACTATCAAAAATGACTGTTTGTGCATAGAAGCTCAAACTAAGGAACATGCTGCTCACTTGTATGAGAACTAAAATTATAACTTCCTCGAAGATGTAAGGGGCACTGCTGAATAACGCACGAAATCGAAGTTCGAAAGCAAATACTTCAACGTCCAACATTACGGATATGTACAGTGGACACACCTTTAGATTGATGCCATCATCAAGTGAAAACTCCTTCGTAAACTGGAATAAGACAAGACGAATTAAGGATTCAACAAATGCAGGATCAATTCAAAGCTCCACGTAGCGAGTTTACTAAGATTAAGAGCTGACACGTACAGCACTACGTAACGACTTTCTCGAAGTCCTGATACCAAGAGTTCAGGATGAAAGGAAGCCCTGAATCGCCAATAATTACCGATTTAATACTGACCATGATATTAACGACGAAGAAGAGAAAAAAAGAAGAAATAAGAAGGGTGAATGAGGTACAATTGAGCGCAAATCTAAGACCGTATGCTGGCCTTCAAATTGGGATCGTATTCAGAACGAAGCTATCCCCAGCAATGTCAGCAATTCCTCACATGCTCCAAATCTAATACGCTCCAAATACTTCGGGATGCCTTCGCTAGTACGTTGTGATATAATGTTGTTCATGCCTGTTGATCATATGAAGCTTAAACTCACAAGTCATTGTTAAGCGTCAAAAGTCTCACCTCTGCTACATCGGTGGCAGTAGCAATTACAGCCCTGGGCGAGATCACTGCAGCTCTCTTGGTTCTTCGGGTGCTCTCATTCAAATTTGGTATCATCAACTGAGAGGTCCGCGCGATGGAGCTACATTGAAGGCTGCTCTTCAAAAGACGGGAATTGAAGCTGGACAGAGCGGAGGCGGCGGGGCAGTTGCACAGTGAAACTTCAACCGAGCAAGTGCTACCTCGTCTGCCTGTTTCCTGACAACGGAGACCGGCAACGGCGGCACATGACACAGAATGTGCCTTCAACAGAACTCCGTGTCTCTGCATTGTTGAATTGCTTCAATGCGAGCGTCAAATGCACAGCATAAGAATGGCACAACAGCGCTTGGCTAGCAAAGTGATCTGCAGAAATGTATGCTCTCACTCCCAACAGCATCCAAGAGGAACTCTTTGACAACCTGCAATGATATGGGTGATCCTGGTGTAAGTAATCGCCTTAAGCAATCAAGGTATTTCACCTTAAGAACAAGTTTATTTGAGCTGCTAGTGTCTGGAATTACACGCAGGAATTAGTAAGAACTGAAATTAGGATTCCAAGAGCATCTAGGGACAAGTCAATAGAAGTGCAGTGGAAACAATAGAACAAAAAAACACAGAAAAACCAAATACGGATTTCTTCACGATGAGCTGCATCACGTGATGAAACAGCATTGGCCAGAATGCGACAATCCAGAAAAGGATCTAATAATGGAATTCGGCACAAGACAAACAAAACACACTGAAAATGCATTGTGAAGAGGATAGTGACGACTTTCCGGACTCCTCGTCCGAACTAGAACACTCTTCTAGTTCCATTGCACAACAAATAAGAGTCCATTGAGGCCGAGGTAATGAATCTGGGCAAGCCAGAGACTCAAAAAAACTTAATTGGTACGTACGGCGGGATAGAATCCTGCTACCCTCACAAATCATTCAAGTTCCAGCGAAACCATGCAAAGCCCAAACGAGGCAAAACAAGCTCCAAGAACGCAGAAATCACCAAACCATCCGGCAATGAGCCACGCATCCACGACTACACTAATTCATCGCGAGGAAACACAAGCACAATCACGCCACAATGAACAACCAACTCTACTTCGTGCAGCGGGGGTCACCTCACTACGCCAGCCTCGCTTCTAGCTTCAACACCGCAATGCAGGTCTGGAATCAGGGTCCGAGCAGAGAGCGTCCAAAAGGCGCAGAGGAGTGCACCGAAATATCCTACAACTCAACGAACACTTCGCATATCAGAACCGCACAATCCAGGCTCCAGGCCGCACACCAATCGATGGGGATTCTTCCCGGCGTCCGATTACACCAGGAGCGAGGGAGGAAGCGGAGCCCAGGGAACCAAGGGATTCCAACCCGTGCGATATTTCCTACACGACGTGGCGGGTATCGCAAAATCGCTGACCCACGCACCCTTAACCTACGCTACAGATCGAGACCAATGCACACCATCGGGCGGGCGATTCCCTCACCGGCATGGCCTTGAAATTCCGGGGCCTGGCTTTGGAATCCAGCGCCCGCTTCACCTCATTTGTGGCCGTTGGTAGTGAAGCGTTGGAGTATCGGTCTGACGGTTCACAGGCTGCGGTCCAGCTTTTCGTCTCCTTTAGAGGTCCGGAGATATTATGGTGCCCAATACGATGGAGCCGATGATTGACCGCGGGACGGCGGTTTGGTTGGCAGTGGGTGGGGATCCAGAGTGCCGGGGCTGCCTTTTCTCGCAGCGATTCTGCTGAAGCAGTGAGTCGTTTTTTTTTTTTTTTGCGGCGACTCACGCAGTTTTTGAAGCTTGGAAAAATCCGCGATGCGTGCTTGTGTATGCAGCAGCGGTCTTCCCCTTCTTTTCGACGCTTAGTGCGATGCCTGTTGCGTTGAATTGTAACCATCGGTTGTGGGTTCATTCTGTGACTGCTGTGGTCCATTTTGCCACAGCATGCCATGCTTTGTTCTGTGAGATTCACAGCTCGAGATATCCTTATTCAGGGAAGAAGACGTACCCCAGAGAGGCAAATAAAACATGACTAGTAAAAATCCTCAATCCTTGTGTTTGTAGCAGCATGATGAAACCATCGATCTACCCGAATAAATGACCTTGGTCGTCATCGCCTCCTGGTTAGTGTGATGACTGTCTCTTCGGCATCTCTGACAAATCCTAATTTAGCTAGTGTGTGTTCTTGTGAATAAGATTGTGTTCCGTTTGCCTTCTCTCTGTTTTTTTCTTTTTCCCTTTATTTTATCCCAATTGTGGGTGGATTTGCAATTTTGGTTTTGCTGACGATGAGGACTTGAAGCATAGGCTTTGTGGTTGAAGTTTTTTATTTCTAAAATTATTGTTATCGTTTTAAAATTTCTCAACAAGGGTGCATTGAATAGTTGTGCAGTGTCGAAATGGTTTACATAAACCGCAATGGGGTTAAATATTAATTTCGGTGATGAACATGAGCATGCAATACTTGGAACATGTTTCTACGTAAATCAACGTATTCGCATGCTCCACTGCCTCAAAAAAGTCATGATTGCAATCCATAAAATTGTGCTTTTGGACAGAACACCACAGAATCCATTTTTTCTTAATTTTTCCTTCAACATGGTAACAATTCTATAAAAAACATTCGGCAACTAGGATTGCAATACTATATGATTTAATGTCGAACGTCACTTCTTTAATTGTATTTCGGATCTGAATGAACTTCAATTCCAAAATCATTGTTGAAAATATTCAACATGCTTAGAACTTGTATTCAAAACCGTGTGTTCATGTTGTACAACGTTACATTAGGTGTGTTAAATGCACTGAATGATTCTCTTGTCCACTACGAGTTAATAGATTGATCATATACACTACATAACAGGTAAAATAGTCAACATTTACGTTACCCAAAACTAATAGAAAGCAGACAAGAGAAAGAAAAAGTAAAGAATATAACTTATTCAGCTCACATGATTTTCTCTTGCGCAGGGGTCCTCATGTTATAGTCACGAGGCCAGGATTGATGGAGGCAGCCATACTTTGATGCTCGGAGAGACAAAGTTAAAAAAAATAAAAAAATAAAAAAATAAAAAATAGTACCCTCATCAGAGGCAATAATGCTAAAGGACAGGGAATGGCGCATCGCCAAGTGGACGGTGCTCGTGACTCCCCTAACTGCTCGAAACGCATGTCCGTCTGCAGCTCTTCCACTTGGTGCTCTCAGACTGGTGCGTTTTCAAACGCCGTGGAAGTGGGTTTTAGTCCATTCGTGGTGATGCACCATTTCAGATTCCGTGGAAGCTCACATCAAGTTGCATTTGACTGGCGTCGCTCTGAACAGGCCAGACTTGACAAAAAGCTCAAGAATCGAACATAACCAACGGTAGAGAGCGCTGTGAAGAAATTAACAGGATTTTATGACTGGTGAGGAAGACAAGGGTGGAAAGTTCATTCAAAGTATGGGTAGACATGCAGCTGCTACACTGTAGACCTCCTACATTGGGCGGGGTCCACACCAAGTGCATAACGCTAACAAGTAGCCAGAAGTAATGTTCCTCATCTCACTCTGAAATTTTCACAATCGCGGGAGCGTCTTCTGGCTTCCTGAGTTGAACCTATATATGCACGTTGTGCAATGATAAAGTAGGATGACGATTTAGAGTCGCAAAACAGAGTCTGACGGTTAAAAGTAATCTGCAAGGCCATGGATCTGAGTAATGCACTATCAGCCTGGCTAGATTATTCGGTTTCCAAAAATGACACTCTCATCATAGCCCTTCTAAGCAATCTGCTATGCTTGCTAGGAGCCAAAACTTCTACAATTCATCGTTTAGTGACTGCTCACTGTCGGGCTTGAAGATTTGTGATGCTTCCTTAAAAATCTGACGCTTTACATCATCTTCCCCAACAACGTCATTGCTAGGGGGAGCATTTCTGCCAAAGTCTGAGGCCACTCTAGTTTCTATGTCTTCAAAGTGTTCAGTCAACATGTTCACAGGCTCTGGATCTGAAATATTTCCAGCTCCCTGCAACGTGAAACAGTGTGAGCGGCTGCTAAATTAATTAAATTTATTATATAGCAAGTCTAAGCCATGAGAAGGACCTTTATCATATGTAACCCGCATCCCTAAACTTTTTCTTTTTACAATTAAATGCTGATCTATACAGGAGCATATCTCTAATGCGTCAGGAATATTTAACTGAAAACAACTGTACATCGAAAATTATATTCTCACAGGTAATACACTCCAACACTGATTTACTGCTAACAGCAAAATAGACCAAGCAATTCAATGGATTGATGAAAGCATTAAACACCTAGAACCTTTCGTTGTTATGAAAAAATATAACTTACATTGTCGTTCTCTCCTGTACCCTCCAGTTCAAAATTGTTCAACTCTGAGTCATCATCTTTTAAATCCACCTCATCCTCTTCTTCCTCGACTTGAGCATTAGGGTCTACGTCCAAAACCAACTTCATGAGAGAGTGGATTTGTTCAGCGAAGGTCTTTGCATTATTCAAAGTGAACCCGCTTTCTAACAAGGCAGTTTCATAGATAAGCACAGCAACCCGGTGAGCAACCTCATCCTGTAACATCAAACAACAACATTCAATTTTCTTCTCCACGTGCGCAATGTGTCATAGTACACAAAGATAGGTGGCGCTTGAAATTGAAGTCTAATTGAACTTACATACCGCAGGGTCCTCAGTAACTTTTTGGAGGAGCATTCGAATGATGGGATGCCTGGGATTGATTTCAAGGATGCGCTTGCTCTTCATTTGTGATACCTTGGAGGGGTCAACAAGGGCTTGGGCCAGCACAACACGTTCCATGTTAGATGACCATCCTGTCCTAGAGGTAACCACCACAGCAGGTGTATTTGCCAATCGTGCACTGACCTGCACATGGTTATCACATACACATTACAATGTGATTGAAGTTGTAAACAATGACAGGAAGCCCACCATTGCCAGAAAATGAGTCATTGACCTGCAATTCGACAAATGACTACTACAGCTTTCCACAAATTTCGACATGGCCTAAGTTGAACTGAGGCATGGCCCCACATAACTACATAAGATTGGTGGGGTCATGCCTCAGTTCAACAATTTATAGAATGGGAGTCACTGCAAAACATGACTCTATAATCTGATTGCAGAGCTAAAAGTTCAGAAACTCTGGTCTTTTGAGAATGTTCTCATTACTTGAGGTTAAAGGTGCTGCCTTTTTACATTAATTCCACAAAACTACCAGATGGCATCCTCTCAATTGAATAGTATATGGAACTGCAACAACGTAACCTCCTCGCACTACTGTACCCTGGATCAATCGTAAATGATTGTGATATGGGATTATAACCTTAACGAAACCAATGCTTTCGCCAGCCAGCAAATCTTTCCACCATCTGGTGAGCTTCTTGTACATCTTTGCGGCCTTTTTCATTTTGACTTTACCCTCTTTGCCAAGGATTTTCAAGCTGTCTTTGGACGCATCTTGGAAAACTTTATCCTCATACTCCGTGAGATGTTGCATCACATACTCATCAAGAGGATCTACGAAGTAAATAACCTGCATACTAAAGGGAGATATGGTCAAAATGTGTTCATCGAATGTAATCACGCAAGGACTAGTGCTACAAAGAAAGGTAAGCTGTAACTCCCGCAACTCGATTACCAAAATTTACAATGCTGATCTCCTCAGGTAGAATTCTTAAAACTAGATTTCTCTAAATCTTAACTTTGATTTGTTAAAATAGTTTAATACCTCTAAACGCTGTGACGTGAAAACAATTGCAGATACTGTTGAAGCTAACAAATACCTACAAGCAACCTCAATCACCTAGTTGTCTGCCAATTGTCAAATTTATGCTTCGATGCCATGTGACGGTGAATGTGAGCATGAGATTGAAGTTTATACGAAACTAACATGTTAACATCACATGTTCGAAAGGAATTTGAAACCTTTGGGTGCTTGCTCACTGACAAACCTTGCGAAAATGGACTTCAATTTGAAGTCTCGAAAAATTGAGTGGTGACAAAGACCATAAGTCATGTTAAACCTTACCTCATATTCATTCTTTAGAAGCTTTTCCAGCAACGGAGAGTTTTTCAATTGATTTTTATCCTGCCCAGTCATGAAATAGATGTGTGATTGATCAGGCTTCATGCGAGCAACATACTGATCAAACGACGCCAACTTTTCGCCAGATTTCGAGCTGCACAATGGTGAGAACAAGAATTTTATGGTATTGTTGTAAAACTGTAAATGGTTATGGAAGAGAAAATATGACGAGAAGCACTAGAAAGATCGTATTACCATTAGTTAAAGGAAAGAGCCTATTCAGGTACCCACTGAAATAGCTCTATGTAATTGGTCAAAAAGTTCCAAACCAGCCTAGTAATTCCAAAAGGATATACGACGCCTTGGAATGCTGGTCATCATATGCAAAAACTCATTTACTTTAAAAGGATCAAGGAGGATCTAGAAGTATTCATATCAAGAAAATCAAGTAATCAAGCAGGAGCGATACCTTTGAAAACGGATAAGCTTGGCTAAGCGTTTTCTATTTGCACTGTCGTCAAGAACACCCATCTTGATAAAATTTCCGTACTCCTTCCAGAACACAGCATACTTGCCCTTTTTCTCATTGGTTTGTTCTTCTTCGTTGTCCTCTAATCCATCTATGGCAAGAAAAGAAGATGAATTATTTTCGTTTCAAGCATCACGGCGGGTGTACTTTATTTGCATCTGTGTGTTTGTGTGTGTGCATGTCAGCGAGAGAAAGAGAGAGCGCAAAACCTTCTACCTATAAATACTCAATTTTCTTTTACAATTGAAATCTTAACACGTCGTGCAGTGTTCGCACTTGAAAGTTTTATTAGACGACAGGACGAGAGAGTCGAAACCAGACCTTCGTCCTCTGAAATAATCTCATCAGGATCATCATCCATGATGCGTTTAATCATATCCAATGCTTTCCTGACGACTTTCTTCTTCAAGGTCTTGAGACTGCTGAGTTGCTGCAGCATTTCTCGGGAGACATTTATCGGCAAGGTATCTGAGTCAACAATACCCTGTCAACAAGCAACATGAGATGTGTTCCTTGGTCCAGAACCACACTCAAAGTGACTCTTCCTGGTCAATTTTGACCAAGCACTCTACGAAGTGACATTGAAAAGCACACCTTCAAGAAAGCTAGATACTTAGGGAGAAGTTCATCAATTCCATCTGATGTGAAGATCCTCCGAATATATAGCTTTAGCTGTGGTGTGTTGGTATAGTAATCATCGAACAATTCTTGAGAAGCTTTTGATGGAATGAAGAGGACAGCTTTAAACTCGACATCTCCTTCCGCGTTGAAATGCGTCCAAGCTAGAGGATCATCTTCGCTGAAATCCTATACATCGGTACAAATCCCACATTTACTATGCAACCAGAAGATTTATCTTCATTGACAGCATGAACAGATGGTAATGAATTTCTTCACGAATCCATGTTAGACCCCCATACTAGCGTTATTTCTAGGTAATACGTGTTTTCCTTCTGCGCTAAACTTGCTGGACTGTTTCAAATGTCGCATACAAGCAGGATAGGAAACAGGAACTATGCTAACCTGCACAATTGGCATCATTGCATTAGGAAACAAGAGGCATATTTATTCAATGGCAAATATTAAATGACTAGTTCAATCACAAACCTTTGTCAAGGAATGATAGAAGCTGTTATACTCCTCAGGGGTGATGTCCTTAGGATTTCTCAGCCAAATGGCCTTCATATTGTTCAAATATTCCCAATTCCACTCAGTTCGCTTCACCGGTTTTGTTTTAGGTTCTGCTGCTAAGAAATGAGAGAAAAATCAAACATAAATAAAATTCCAATAAAATATTCATTTGCAACTTCAAAATGCGCATTGCATTCGAGCACGTGCAGCCTTAAGCTATCCCAATGTGATAATTTGCGACACTAGCTTGAGGGTAAGTTTCTGCACAACGGAGCGGTGATTCCCCACCCTCTTCTCTATCAGGTTCATCTTCAGTTTCTTCTTTTTTATCTTCGAGGTTCTCAGCAGAAGTTCCTTTCCCAATAGCAGTGTCCTTGTCTTCTTCGACTGGATCCTCAATCTCTTTACCTACCCACAGGTATATCGGGAAATTTATGAATTGACAGTATTTTTGCACCAACTCCTGCAAAACACACCCCGCAAGGATCAGTGATGTGCGGGAACAAACGTCAGCCAATAAGGTCAAACAGCGACCGGTATCAATATTTGAAAGCTTTAACAAGGTCTGCTTGTGGTCCTGGTAAACCAAGTTCTGGAACATAAGTACTCGTAATTTCCCTTCTGCTGCGTATTCTGCAGCATTCTCCTTTAGATGTATTCGTATGTCAGTTCCTCTGCCCAAAGGTTCATTTTCTGTATCTTCTGAAATTGAAAAACTTCCATCGGCACTGGATTCCCAAATATACCTAAACAGTTGCGTAGCATAAGTTAAATGAAATTAGTCCCAACAATACGAATCAGAACAAAGGCATGACTAACGAAAATGTTACCTATGACTTCATCACCACCAGAAAGTTGAAGGAAACATTGTGCATGAATAGTTGCAACTGCAAGATCTACAAGCTGAACCTCTAGAGGACGCGGCTCTAGTGCCCAGGAGTTCATATCAGAAAACATAAGTGCCCATAACCAATTAAAATATTTCATTTTTAATCATAAGGTCAGCCTATTTCATAGTAAATTACGCACTGTTTGTCATCATCCTGTTTGCTAATGACCTCGACATAGTCAGCGATCAAATACACGGAGTAAAATCCAACCCCGAATTGACCAATTAGGTTCAGGTCCCCTCCACTTTGTATCTGATCCAAAAAAGCTGCAATTGCACAAAATTTCTACACTTGAACAATTTAACTCATCTACAGCAGTATGATTCAATCAACATGTCCATGCTTCTATTCTTCATGATTTAAAATCTATATTAGGATGTAAGTCTAATGTTATAGGATGAGACAGGAATCAATGTTCTTTACATGATGTGCCAGACTTAGCTACAGTGCCGAGGTTTTTGATAAGGTCTTCCTTGGTCATTCCAACACCGTTGTCTCTTATTGACAGTACATTTTCCTTTTTGTCCACCTTTATCTGTTCGTTTCATATTGTCGATCGGCAATTACGTGATTGTCCAGAAGTGGGAACGTAAATAAATCAGAGTTATCAGATAAATTATGTTACATACATTTAATTTGTCGAAAGACTCCCATCGAACAAACGCTTACATGTATATCAAGCTCAGCGTCCTTTCCATCGCTGAGCAGAGTTTTGTCCATGAGAGACAAAAACCGGATCTTATCCAGCGCCTGCCACCAAAACATTTCAAATCAAGCCACTGGCATAGAACTAATAATGCAACTTCACAATGGAGTGACGAACGGCACCGAAATTATATTCAGGACTCCTCCATGCTGCTCGAAGCTTGTTTAAGAGCTAATATAACAATATATTCCGGAATTGAACCACACAATGGTTTGTAGTACACAACACATTCCAACGTTTTTATCCAAGGTCGAATTACAAAATCATTCCAAATTTGTTGTGTGAGTAGAGAAATTAATACAACCGAAATCCGACAACCACTGGGAGTGACTCCTGATTCTTAGAAACCTTAGAAGAACAATTATGAAGGCGAGATATCTTACATCAGAGGCATTGGACACCAGTTCCCTCAGAAAAATATCCTTGTTGCTGTACAGGGAGTTGATGATGATATCCATCAGCCTTGAAACCTCTGCCTGGAATTCAAAACTTTCTCCATTCCTCCTCTCTTTCGGCGCCAACGTATCTCGTTCTCTGCAATGCATCGTGCCAGTGTTATGGCTAAGAACTGATGATGCACTTTTACACCCATTAAAACTACCATCAGTGACTCGTATGGCCATGACATCAATCTTCCACAAAGCGATGGGAAACATCGGGTGGAACAAATGATTGTGTTCCAGATGAACACCACAGCGGGACAAATTTATCAAGTGAGTTGGTCGGGAGAAGGAGACTGAAACATTAATTGAAGACAATGAGGGAAGAGAAACCTTGCGACAAGTTCCGCATCAGTCGTCGATCCAAGAGGAACGGCTCCAATTCTGTTTTCAACCTTTGCAAACGCACTCACAGGCTCTACAACTACACCATCTTGTGCAGCCACTCCAGCATGAGGATCTGACTCCACATTAGAGCACCATTTGTGAAGAAAAGATGAAGGTGAAATGATATGTGCAGACTTTGCAAAGAGCTTTGTAAACACAGTCAAACCTCAAAAACTTCTCTACATGCTCTCATGTAAACACTTCACGATGAAGTGTTTCTGACAGAGGGCACTGATCTGCTAGGAAACTATCAAATATGACGATAGCATGTTATTGCATACAGTTATTAAAGAAATACGGAAGACAACAGTCGGAAATACCTTGAATGCTGGTTATAGTGAGCAATGCGCATAATGCTGTAACAGCTGCAAATCGAGTCATGACTACCTTTACCAGCTTACAACGAAGCTTAATTCCTGCCGAAGCCAATCTGGTATTCCCTGTGCAATCAAGTTGTAGTTGCATGTGAATGGATATCTTTAAAGGAAAATTGGGGCCCTATCAAGAAGTTCTGAAGCGCAAGAATCAGAATTGTGAGCACAGAGGCTGTTATTGCAGGAGCCTTAATCAAATCCATCAATATATGTCGAGCTCAGAAGACACTAATGACACAAGATTTGAATTCTGGTTCGATTGTTGCAAATTTCACACGCTTTCAAGTTCGGAAGAAGTTTGAGCGTCCACCGTGGATATCGTAGGTGATGTCCATCGCTCCACGGTGAGCACAAATGCTCTCGTACAGATTTCCAAGAACCGTCAGTTTATAGTGAATCTGGTCAAAGAGTACCCAAGTTATCATAATTAGACTCTTTCGCAGAGTAAAAGTAAAACTTATATAATTCATAACTTTTAGGCCGTTAGAGTTTTCGTAATGAAGCACGAGGCTGCGACCAGTGGATGGTCATATTACCAACAGCATCAACTCAGAACTAGGTACCTGATGGTCGCTTAGCACAAAGTCATGCAAGCCTGTCTAAAATGCTGTGACGGTTACATGAACTTCATGCAAGAGAACCATCCGCAGGGGGCAACATGGTGGAATTGGCCTGAGCAAGTCCTGAGCAAGGTACAGGCAACAATATCAACGAGTAACAGTAACAGTCATCCTATCCCACCAAAAGCCTTATAAGTTATCTAAGGCATTCTCTATCCAAGCAGGTTGACATGTTGAAGTTTCTCAGTCGCATGATGATCAAACAATCCTCTCGACACTAACGCAAATGATCCCACAATCGAAGCTGCACTGTACACAAGAAGCCTCGAGATGGTATAAGTCTCTGCTCGCTCTTCCTTACAAGTCTATCCAAAGCAGAATACTAAACCCTACCCAACGCCGGAGTTACATGAATGAAAAACCAGAGAATCTCACTGGTTACAAAAAGATGTGCGGAGCATCAGATCCAGACATTATAACGGAAACGAAAAACTAGCCAATAAGTACACGGTGCACAATAGCCTTCTTTAGGGCCTCACATGCGATACAATAACTGATTCTTTAATGAAATATCCTACTCACAACATATTTATTTCTATCTCAGTCTTCAGTAATCAGAAACTTCTCTGCTTATAAAACTTCCCGCCACCGCAGCCTAACCCGTGGTCCAGCCTCCTCTAAAATAGCCAACTAAACAGACAGCCTACCAAGACCAAAAGAACCACATAAGAAACTCGCTATTAATGTGTGATACACATCACGCTATCAAGTCTCGACATAAATCTCATCAGCATTTACAAGATGATCTCATCTTGGACGCTAATGTTGAGGGTCTTGTGAGGTAGGACAATGCAATTAACAACAACAACCTCATCCTCAACGGCCACGTCTTCTCCTGCAATTAATACAAAATGTATTTGAGTCAGAAACACGTTACAGAGATAATTCAGACGATTAGCAACTTAAGACTGGGACAAAAAATTGTCATCCTTGTACTGCAACGAGGTTCTATACGTATTGTATCCTAAAAGCCCTGGCTGATCCTGAATAAAGTGAAAAGTCACACAAACGAAAATTAGTAAACAAAAAGGAATTATGAATGGATATGCAAAACAGACCAAGAATGGTGATGCCCAACTTGGCATTGTAATCGCCTCCTCCCTGCATACAAAATCGTACAATTCTAAAAGTTAGTTCAATTTGAAAGATTTGCATCCTTGCTGAGCAGATCACAACTCGTAACGATACTTCGAGTACCTTATCGGTCGCAAGATTAAAATTTAAGAACCAGATTTTACTTGAAACAGGTATCAAAATAGGATAAATCTTGCCTGAACTCGAGCCCATTTGCCCAATGTAGACTTCCAGCCAACTATAGAGTGCATCACTACAGCATTTTCCTGCAAGATTTTCTTCCAATCAGATCGTAATGCTGAGTGGTACGTAAAGCCAAGATGACATGCACGTGCATTATGCCCGAGAACCTATGCGAGTCTATAAATGAACATAACGCGAAGGGAACTAGATACTCGAGTGACTAACAATCAAGGAAATGTACATATTTGTTGATTTTCTCAAAGACAGAACCCGTCAAAATCGCCCCCCAGAAAGAATTCCAGGCATGTTTCAAATATTTAATTTAACTGCAGTACAAAGACGAGTATTTCCATATAAGCTTACAAACAAAAAAAAAAAATACGAACCTTGATTTCAACATCATCAAGAATGATACACCCTATGAGCCGAGCACCAGGGCCAACACGGGCATTGGCTGATACAGAGACATTAGGTCCTAGCTGCATCCCCACCACCAATACAATCCCATAATCTAGTTAACAAGATGCCAGTAGACAAATAAAAGTAAAAAGAGCTTCAGTTAAACCTGCTGGCATAAAAGTAGGTTCAGAAAAAGCATCTGTTAATAGAATAGTGGCACGTTAAACATACCTTGGCAGTTGGATGAACTTTGGCAGATCTATGGATGAAGACGTCTCCTATTATTGTAGGCGATCTATTACCATCTCCACTAGCCAAAAGCTCGGGCATCGTCACCCTATATTGTGCTAAGTACAGCGACGAGCACCGGAGAGACATTCTGCAATGTAGTTGTTCCCTCATCAGATATTAAGATTCATAATGTTCTCAAAACAAACAAATAAGATAAAATAACAGATTAACAAAAACAATAAATCTTAAATTAAAAGCAGAAATAACCAGACAAAAGGTACTGTCCGATACGACACAATGCACAGCATGGCAACAATTGATGCGCTGAAGAACCATGGATTTGGGTATCGAAAAGCCCAACTACCAAGCCCAACATGAATAGAGGGGATTCCAATTAAGGTTCATAACTAGTTCAAAATATGGTTAACAAAAATAGAATTGCCTGCGGGGTCTTCAGCACACAGACAACCAAAAACTTCCAATCATCACATAAACCGTGACACATATGATCTATGAAGAGCACAATTGAGTTTTAAAAGCTTCCGGGTGAAAAATGATTTGGACAATACTACAGAATTCACTACTCACCCTGGTGTTTTAATCTGCTCCCAGAAATCATTAGTTTCGAAGGTATAGAGCTTCTTTTTGCCAGCTAGAGGGGTGAGGATATCTTGATCAAGCCTCACAAAATCAGCTTGCATAGCTCTGAAACACTTCCACGATTAGATGTCAAAAAGCACTCTTTAAGAACAGGAATCCTTATTAATGTTGTTAGAGTCTTTAAGAGTATCTTCATCACGGTTTGTGAGAGAACCCTCATCGACAATATATCTCATAAGGAATAGACAATAAACAAATAAATCTGTGCCAAACAGAGTATGCACAATCCAAGAAAAACTTTCAATTCATTTCGTAGCAGCTGTGAGAGCACATTCTCAGCCGATGACACGATGACACAAAGACACCAAAAACAAACCTGCTATTAGTTGCAGTGTGGAGGGCTTCGAAGCTTGACATGCGACGAAGACTTGCTGCAAGTATAATTGCGGTATTAGACTTGGATTAAGAAGAATCCATGAATAGATAGATAGATAAAAGGTTTTGCATGATAGAAACATTATTGCACTATGGACAATACATTTAACGAGAAACTCTTATACACCATGCTTTCTTAAGTGTCTAGACCACGGCTAAGATGAAGAAAAAAAGTTCTTAAGTTCCGTCACAGCGTCCATTAGAAGCTTTGGCTGCAACACGCGGTAATACATGTATACAAAATGCTGACTACTCCTTGTGGAATACCATCAATGTTAAAAACTACATCATTGTTATACCAAAACAGATTGCATAGCAATAAAAAGGATACAAGTGCATGAGAAAGTGGCGCAAAATTTGAAACAGTAGAGGGAACTAAAAGGCTCACAGATTTCATGCTTGCTTGATGAAACATTTTTGATGGCATTAAAAATTTCTGGTGTGAATACATAAACTCCACAATTGATGAAATCACTCACCTGCAGAAATACCATAATGTCAAGGAAAACATGCGATATTTAACAAGCCTCCTTACTGGCTTCTCATCTATCCTACAGAAAATTGTTAGGGTCCAGGTATGTCAATCACTATTCGGTTGATTAAACAAACATTTAAGTTGCAATAGTTCGATATGAGAATAGAACTTTAGAACAAGTTTATTTTTTACTTTCTAAACAGAGGAGAGAGAAGAGGACGCGGAGAAGAAGAAGAAAAAGCAGGCTTTTGATGGAGATCTGTCAAAACAGTGTTTTAACATATTTTAGATTCTCAAACTTCTAAAAAGTGAAAGCTGGAAATAAATTCCAAGTTCTGTAAATTAAGAAGCTTACGAAAGTCTCCGGTTTCTCTGCATAATGAAGTAGCTCGCCTGTTTTGGTATCCGCCACCAACTCACCAAATTCGCTTGCGACTTCTTTAGACACCTGCAATATACATACTTCTTCAGTGTACTCCATATATCTAACATATTTTGAATTCACTACGACTAAAACAAGAAAATACAACTATGCCTGACTGAAACTTGCACAGGGTTTACCCCTGCTGCGTCAAAAAAAAAAGAAAAAAAAAGAAAAACAAAAAAAACAAAAAGGCAAATACACACGAAGGGAGTTAAAACCAAACAGCAAGGATGATCTCAGGTATTAAGGTCCGAAACAGCAACTGCTTAATTGAACTGTGTCTGATATTTGACAATCGCGAAGCTAAATTCTACGCAGTAGAAATTCTTCATTACCTCCCATCCATATTTCAAGCGCTAGCGTCTGCGATTCGTCAAAAGTTACAATACTACATTCTCTAGACCTAAGCATTAAGAAGTGCAAAGCCAACTTACATGTCAACAACGATATACCTGATCTGAATGATTCATTGGAAGTAGATAATGTTGAATGTCATTCGGATTGGCAGCACTACGAAGATGTGGTTGCATCTATAAAAGGGCAATTTACATTTGTGTGGACCTATAATTGTGCTTACGATTGCTTAATGCTTATCCTTAAAAAATTCAAACTTAGTTACACGGGTAATTTTTTAATCTTGGTATGATAACTAACTTTAAACCACTTTCTTTCAAGATGACTTCTGTCCTTGTTCATTTTTTCGCAGTTTAGGTGATAGATTTTTTGAACGGAGTTAAAAGAACTGTACAAAAGTCTGAACATGCTTATGAAGAGAACGAAAGATACCTTCTTGACTAAAAGTGTGCCTATCCCCCCATGCTTTCTGTGAGCCTCTGCGAAAAGGCCACGTCAATGGACAAACAACTATTATACCACGTAAGAGACATCATCGAACTTCAAAAAGAGCGATTCCTCACATGTTATCTAGAGAGTAGCTAGAACTTTAACAGAAGACAGCCCCGACTCAAGTAAGAGACATGTGTCTACAAAATTTACTCACAGCCCACGGATAGGATGGCAGTTTTAGTTATACAAGATAAGTATCTTCACTCTTACTCATAAGCATTGCAATTTTTTAAGCACATCAGGTTGAAAACATCTAAAAAATATGATCGAAATCATGGATAGATGTGCAAGCAGCAAACTTACCGAGCATTGCAGTCAAAGGAAAGCTGCAGCATACATCGCAGTTCAATACAACAATGTCGGTCTGCACAGGGCATAGTCGTGAGAACATGTCAATAAAAACTTCCCACAACTACGTTCAGGTCAGGCAATGAACTTAAAGCGTGTTACAAATTTTCAAGAAGTAAGCTTTCAACAACGTTGTGAACAGCGCGGCAGCAGAGTTGCTTGAGGAAATCGGTATCAAGCATGGGATCCTATTAATACATCAGTTTACAAAAATGAAATTAACAAAAAGTGCATCACATTTGAATAACATTACATTCATAAGAACTTCCGCAAAAAATCATTGAATGATGCACAGTAGGTTCACGAAGAGGTGGAGCAATTTAAGGCTTACAGGGTCATCTTCCATCAGTAGATCCTGAAAATTATATAGGCCACCAGCAGATCCGTGAGGTTTGTCCTCACGCAAGTACCTGTAGCCACCCTCACGCACTAAGTTGCTACTATGGGCAAACGAATCACTATAGCACAAGATAAAATACAAGCTAATGACCTATCAAAGAGCACTACTGCTCCACATTGATGTACAAATTCACCTCACAGGGACCTTAAGATCGTTTGAAAGCGCAGAGATGTAGAGCGAAAATTCTTTTTCCTCATAAAATCCAATAAGATACACCTGCGCCAAATCAGGTATCTGCAACATACAAAACCTACATTAAAGCACCCACCAACATCTAAATCTTAGAGCACATATTTCACAAAAATCCATTACTGTCCTAAATTACTAGCAGTTTCCTTAAAGGTTCGGCTTAAATACTTACATGCATAACACGTATAAAGAAAATAAATAAATAAATAAATAAATAAATAAACATTAGAGAATGCAGCCTCAGTCATTGTACTTGCCCAGTTATATGGGCCTCGTCAAATCATGATACACGACAGAGAGAATCGCTACACATGTCTACTTGCTTCAACACAACCACTTAGCAATTAATAATTCAAGCGCATACCTTTTTGCACGCAAGGATTGGATGATGAACCATTGGCTGGCCCGCCAAGGGAAACAAAGGCTTAGCCAAGTTAAAAGAAAGTGGCCGGAAGCGAGTACCTACATGATTACCGCCAAAAACACAAAATTAAAAAACTAAAAAATGAAGATTGTTGAAGCATTTCAGCTGCACAAGCACATCTGGAATTCGACAGACTCCTCCTCTAAATAGAGATATTGCTTTGCTGTTGAAATGTTCATTTATCGACAACAGGATCGATCCCATAACCAAAGAATCCGTCTATTGAAAGAAGCTAGTGCAAAGTTTAGCCCGGATTGAGGATCCAGACCCAAGAGTGTCTTTGATTCTAGTTCGAAAACAAACCTTTAGTAGGCCCCCCCATCATAATGACGGCCACGGTCTTCTTCTGAGAACTGACAGTGCTCGGTACGTCATTGGTGAGCCCCATTTTCCACAGCTTCCGTTCGAGACAAATAAAAGGGTCAATGAAGACCTCGCACTGACGTTTGGAGAGAGACGAGGTTGAGCACAGTGCTCCTTGTGGTAGATAATCGCTGGAGCCTACCTCCTTGCCGCACTGTTCTTGCTCTCATGAAAAGGAAAGAATATTGCTTTTCTTTGACATACAAATTCCAATACTCACCCCTATACTGCAAAATGCGCCAATGCAATCCACTTTTCAATCATTGCACTAAAATCCAGATGTGAGAGCTTCGACTGAGACAAGCCCATCTATGCTGGTTACTCCCACATGATTCGAACTCCACAAATTAATAAACTCAGCGCAACTTTCCCGGCGATCGAAATGTGCATTCAACAACTCTGAAGAAAGCTGGAATATGAGAGTTGAGGTACAGCGCTTCTTTCAGTAATGTCAATGATAAGGAATTCGTACACTTAGAAGTCAATTTCGTGACATGTTTTCATAAATACATTATAGGTCGACGAAACTGACTTCCTGTAATTGCTTTCTCTGCATCTCGGCGCTAAGTCGCGAAGGTTTGATACAGTTGAAGGAATATATCGAACTGAAAACGAAACTGTTTGAGCACTGTCCTTTCGAGCTCTAATCAGATCCATTGGCCGCACAAAACATATCAGACTTTTAACTAGCCACATAGCGTAACCTCTCTCTCTCTCTCTCTCTCTCTCGCTCCCCCTCCCTCACTTCAGCTGAGGTAGACATGACCAACTGCCTTGATCCACCACGACTCACACTCGTCCATCGAATAAATCGCAAAATTTCAACGGCAGCAATTTTGCACAGATCGTTTCATTCCCATTCCAAATCCTGGCTACTTTGCTACACACCGAGTTCAAGAAATACAACACTAGCGCCACACAAGTATTACAGAATCGATTCATTTTTTTCAAATGTACCTATGCGGAGAAAACAAACGTCGAGCACTAAGATCTCTGTCACGTCACAGAGGCGCATCACAGTCAGTGTTCACCAATCAAATCTACATGAAGCCACGAAGCGAGCTTTTCAGGCACTTCCATCAACAATGCACACCACAAACGAGGCGGGGGCGACGAGATTCGCAAACCGGTATCACAGACCCTCCCATGACAACAGCTCAAGAACACCTCGAGAACTCACCTGCGCTCGATTCCGGAGGTCTCAGCGCAGCGAAATCTGAAGCACCAGCGACGTAATCCCTGTCCCAGAGCAATAACCCTCGTGCACATTTGACCTCTCAAACCACGGCCTCACAGCTTCAAGCTTTTCCTATCGGTGTCACATCCGCCAACAACTTACATTCAACAATTCTTACTCGGGCATAGACTTACACTGTTATACCAAAACTTACCAGAGTGTGAAGATCTTCGTCGGTCTTGATTACAGAGCGTTAAGTCTTTTTATTATTTGTCCTGGAAAAATTGCACGTAGAGCTAGTTAGGGCGAGAGCCAGCAGCTTCCGGGAAGAACTCTTTCCTCCGCCACGTTCTTTCATATTCTGTCATATGAGCTTAAAAGAGGATTGCGGTCATTACCGTCCAGCCTTGTAGTGAGGGTGGGAATATCCCTCTCGGCGATCCCCTCCTCTGTGCGACGCGAGGTCAAACAAGGATAAAGTTAGCTTGGTGAGAGCTAGCTTTCGTGATGGACCAACGACAGACATTTAAGGCTACGGCTTGACTCCTCAGAAGGCCATCTCTGTGGACGTCGTGCCAGAACTCATTACAGATCTCCTCGAAATCTAACACGACGACCTGGACGAAAACATACACACGCATGCGTGTATGTATGTATACATGTAGATTGATTTGTTGTTGAGGATTCAGTAGAATGAAAGAATACAGACGCCACAAAAGAAAATGAATGCTTGAAAAGTCGATTCACACGACTACATTAATCAAATTCAAAACATATTTAAGGACCTTTAAAAGATACGAATCCGTAAAATTGGAATTGCGATTGCTCTAACATTATCCATGACAGGCTTGTAACAACTTCTAAGCACGGGGAGAATGTCATCACATGTCATTGCTCTCTCTTAACGCTGAATGTATTGTTTCCAAACGCGCACAAAAAAATTGGACAAGCATTGGAAGATACCGTTAGATCTCCCTTTGGCTCAACCACTCGAACAAAAACAAAAGAAATCACAAAAATACACATATCAACACCCTGTGCAAGAATCTGAGAAACATCCGCACCTCATGACAATGTCAACACACACAATCATTGGTCTGTAGGCACAGACCTTTAGCTCGTCCTGCGAAAAGCGGGAATCAGATGTGTTACCCAACCCTTTGAAAGCACGCTCTGTGATGATGTTAGATTTAGCGCAACTAGGCCATTCAACTTTCCGCGCATCATTTCTCTCTTCGAAAGAGATAGATTTTCAAAAAAATAAAAAAGAGAGGGAAAATAAAAAGTAAAAAGGCAAACAAAGAAATGATACAGCAGGTGTTTTCTCTTCAATGCAGGTGTGTGTGGCCATGATAGAACATTTCCTGTCTCAATCGAGGAATAATATAGCTAATGTGTTATGTTTTCCCTTTTCATTTTTATTTTCATTTTTAACAACAGCAGCAGCAAATAATCAAAACTAGATCCACGCTGAGGATGTGGACTGAGAATGAGCGCATTATTGGCAGCCCACATTCATCTGTTAGCTGTGCCAGTGTGAAAAAGGGAAGATTCGCATAGGCCACAGCCAAACAGATGTCATCACTGCCCATTCTGACTGCCCTCTCTGACCGCCGGCCCGTTCTGACTGCCCGCTCTGACAGGTCACTAGGGCCACGTACTTCTTCGGCCCAGGGGCCAATCCTCTTGCTCTCGGAAGCATCCAGAATCCCGGTTGCTATTCTAAAACTCTCACATGGACTGCTCAGCATCCCATCGGCACTCTCACTTTTTATTTGTGTATATATATATATATATATATTTATTTATTTATCTATTTGTTCCTTTACCTTTTCCATTTTCTTTTTTATTTGGCTTTTCCTTTTGTCGCGACAATTTCTATTCATTTCACTCATTACCTTTGGGTAGTATAATTGAGCCATGGCAGTTTGGAGTGGCCAGCAATAATAATAATTATAAGGCATGCCCACATTTTTTATTTATTTTTTGTTTCTAGGCACATTTTCTGTTTCTAGGCACATTTTCTGTTGCTAGTAGGATGTTACCATCCATTTCTCCAGTTTTTCATTAATGAAAAGAAGCCCCACTGGGATCCCACAGTTATGTTCCTCCCGGCCCTATGTTTACATTGGTCGGCTCAATCATGCCATGGTGTAAAAGTTGCGTCAATCAATTACACCGTATTTTCTTTTTCTTTTTCTTTACTTTCCTTTCTTTCCTTTTTTATCCCTCCGTCTTTCAATTTCCTTTTTTTTCAAAGTGATCGTTCCCGTTGCAAAAACTGTTCAGCAATGTTCTTTCAAATTGTTCTGATTTCTTGTGTATGATGGGGTCGTATTTTAAAATTATGTACCTCAGATAGTTTTACAAATTTTTTTGTGGTATTTTATTTATTTATTTATATTTCAAGAGTTGGACAAATTAAATGAACAATTAAATCTTATGGTTTCAAACATTACCACTTAATAACAAAAATAAAAAACTTGTTTTTACTTAATGTAGTTATCAAGTAACAATGTTGGTATTTGTTGCATTTTGCAGTTCACACACACACACACATGTATATATATATATATATATATATATATATATATTTTATCAACAAGAATGCTAATTAATTTGCATTAATAACAACATAAACACAGCAATTTAAGCCCTCTAATGCTTTTGAGCAATTAATCAAACATGTGACAACTTCCAAAATAATTCATCTAACATTGTTTTACAAAATGAAAAATTCCGAATTTAATAAACTTAAAGCTAAATGTCTGTTCTTATTCTACTTACTCTGTTACCGTACATCATTTATAAAATATTTATATTCAATTCTATAATATTTTTTCATACTCAAAATTGGCAAGACATTTTTGAAAGCACATTGTTAAAACATGTTTGTGTTTGAAGAATTTTGTACATATAAGAATATTTACATTAAAATAGTCAACACTTGATTTGACAAAGAACAATACCAAATATAAATTAATGGTACTTCAACATCTTAGATGATCATGATCTTTGCAATGAACTCAAATAATTGCTAACAACTTTGACCTTTAAAAATAGGACAATGTTGAAGATAGGAATCAATTTATTTGATTTTCTTGGTATGGCTTCAAGGCAATCAAAATTGCAAGCAAAAAAATGAAAGAAAATAAAATTGAGAATTGATGTCCTTTAAGAAGATATTTATAATGTATTTTTTCTTTTCTGGTGAGTTGAAAAAAAGTAAATAAAAATGGTCATGGAATCAGAATCATGTGACTTTGATTAGGACAATTCCCTTTTGACGGACCAAAAACTCACATGATATTGGAATATTTAAGAGCAGTTAAATTATTATTTTTTCAAATAGTATAGCTCTTAAAATGTTAAAAATTGAGAGAAGGTTATATAAAATAATTTAAAATTCAATGTGGGTTCTTTATTCTTCAAAAATATATTCATATATTGAAAATTGTTATATAATTCATTTTGTTTTTCATATTTGCTGTAACATTGGAATCCTTAATCAAGGATAACTAGGTTTTGTTGATTGCATATGCATACATATTTATATATATACACGCACATACATTTCCTTTTGGTACCAATTAATGATTTTGGACTCAAATGTCGTTTAAAGAGAACAAGAATTCTTTTTAAGCTTTACTTTTACATTTTTTATTACGAAATTAAATTTAAATTAAGACCTAAATGTCTTCAAACTATAATTCATTTTATCATATTTTGCAAAATTCTAAAGTTTGGTTGATTATTCATTGAAACAACAATATTCATGCTTTTAGCTGTTTTAAACGTATGACAACAGGAACTATACAAAAATATTATTAACATGTGTATTTGCTATAAAAAGAAACACATTTGATCAGAAGTGAAACAAAATTAAGTACACTGTTCTGTTTTTATTTCAAATACAATTGAACTTTGAGAATTGCACAATTTTTTTCTTTTCTATTCCTTTTCTTGTGGAAAAAATCAATTTAATTAAACACTTATTTAATTTCTGTACACAAATATAAGCAGTCCAGAAAATACTGTTCACTTCAAACTGTAATCGAATCACAGTAGTTAATAGTTCCTCTGTTGTTGTTTAAGATCTGCAAGAACTTTTTGATGAACAGAATGAAACCTTTTAATTTGATTTAAGATTGATCTATTAACTATCTTACAAAATATTTCATACTCTGTGTAATTCAAACATGATGTTCAATATATATGTACTTGGATGGTTATCATCCTCTTTCAATAATACATGTGGTAAAAATATTCCTCAATCATATCATCAAGTTATTTCTCATGTAAACTGTTCATCACATTGGGTAAAATCAAAAGAATGTTTGCAAACCAATAAGGTATGATAATATGCTTAACATAATCATGGTTTTTTAGATGGTATATTTAGATTCATCTCACTAATTTGTCTGAACTAATTCTCAAAAACAAAAAAATACTTGAGGATTTCCAGATAAATTCAACTATCTATGTTCAAGGTAAAATATTAAGATACTTATGAAGAATAGTTATGAAGAATTAACAATTAGAATATGTCTGTATGAAGTAAGTTGCTCCTTTATCAAACTACACCTGATATACATACATACATACATATCTTGTTGAAGAATTTTTGAGTTTTTTTCCTTCTATAACGTACATTATAAAATCATAAATATTCAAAAAATCTCTAAAAAATAATTCAAAGATGACAAGGATTGAATAGCCCTGACAATGATATTTTCTTCGAGACTGCACTTTTGTCTTTAAGATTGAGAATCATGAGTAACAGTTATGAAAATAAATAAATAAATAAATAAATAAGAGAAGTTATTCTTTAAATATACTCATTCAAATAATTCATCCTTTTGATAATTTCCAGTCTTTCGAATTTGTTTCTACAATTACTGAAATATAGATTATGAATAAGTTTTGCTTAATGTTTAACGCCAGCTAAAGTA